AGTCGCCAGCTGACCGTCTCAACCAGCCAAATAATGGTGCCCGGTCTCTGGAGCGCGCACCGTCACAGTCCGTTCTCCCAACGCGCCAGTGGCCAGCGCTCCGCCAATTAAGCTGCGGGAACGGCACCCAACAATTACTGACATTCCCTTTCCATGTCCTATCTGTTGTCCGTCTCCGCACGGTCTTGTTGTGCCTGGCGCTCTATCTCGCCTCTCGCCCTCTAGCTCTTTGTCGGCACCGTTCGCGAGTGGCGAGCGCCGCTGCGCCAGCCGGAGCACTTGGCACGCTGCCAACCGACAGACCAACAGCGCGGACCGACGGGCCGCTGCCGGCGATACGCCACGTAACGGGGTCACCACGCGCACACACGCACACGTGCACGCGTGCACACGCCAGCGCTCTCGTGCACGCGGTTGTGCGCGTCTGGCCAGAGGAAGGAAAATTCAAATTGGTCGTGGGTTCAAGTGTGGCTAAAGTAGTCACGTACTATGTCATTGGAACCGAATTGCATGTGTTTACGGTCAGGCCGGGTTTGGCGCGGGCTTTCCCCTTGCAGCGGGTCATTTGTCGGCGTAGGTACTGCGGCGTGAGCCGGTCTTCTGTAAGCGTGCCGAATCGCTCACCACGCGCCTACAGGTGGTCCTGACGGCGCTGGGTGGGGAACCAGGCGCGTTTACTGCGCAAAATGCCTTTGAGCCTTTGCTCAGACATAGGCGCAGCACGTGCGCACATAGGCACAACCACAGACACAGCCACAGTCGCAGGCACAAACGCAGCCGCAGGCACAAGGACAGCCACAGGCACAGGCACAGCCGCAGGCACAGGCACAGGCACGAGCACAAGCACAGCCGCAGGCGCAGGCGCAGGCGCAGGCACAGGCACAGGCACAGGCACAGGCACAGCCACAGCCACAGGCACAATTACAGGCACAGACACAGACACAGACACAGACACATGCACATGCACAGACGCAGACGCAGACGCAGACGCAGACGTAGACGCAGACGCAGACGCAGACGCAGACGCAGACGCAGACGCAGACGCAGACGCAGACACAGACACAGACACAGACACAGACACAGACACAGACACAGACACAGACACAGGTGATTTTTTGCTAATTTGACTTTATTCAGGCCTCGCCCGGGATCCCCCGGCAGTTTGACGAAAACGGCGCCCCAATTGACGGACACGTGCTGATTAACGAAATCTGGGAGCGTTTTAGTTGGATTCTGCAATTTGCATGGGGTAGACCGTTGTTCGCATCGACCCTCGGGTGCCACATTAGCTGTGGATTATGCCTGAGGCATGCATAAGTCGGTGCTGTGCGACGGTTGGCTGACTCTGATCGTGCATAGATAGTCGGCATGATCACTTGCGTGCGGTACTCAATGACATGTCATTGCAGCTTTCCACATGTGCTGGCTGTCGTCGGCTAAGAAGGTTCTGTACAACGCTGATCGATGCGGACTAAGATAGTTAAGTGTATGAAGCCTCCGGTCCCCCAACGTATCGTGAGGGGCATGTTAAGTGAGTCGGGCAAAAGGAGCGGTGTGCCCCGTAATTTGTGGCTATTGAGTTTGTGAGCAAGACCCGGGAATGTTGGGAATGGTTAGTTTGGCAAAGCTACGAGAGTTGCCATCTATGGGTGAGTAAATCGTGAAATACCCATTGAGATCACCGAGTTAAATCGCGACGCGGCAATACGCACCATTCCCTGCCTGTGCTGGGGACGAGCGTCAGGTCTGCTTCTGAAGATGGATTGCAAATGAGGGAAAACAACTCTCTCCGGTACTGGTATTCGCCGAGTGATGCCCGCGCCTGGGGCAGCATGTGCACTATCGTGCGCGCTCTCTGTATGCACGGGCACAAGCCCTTGTGCGCCGGCATGCGCGCGACCGCAGTCACGGGCGGATCCAGGAGGGAGGGGCAGCCCCCCCCCCTCCCGAAGATGGCCAAAGTCCGGCAAAACATGGCGTCCCACAAGGTGGCGTTCCGCCTTTGACTGAAGGTGTGCCGTCAGTCGCTCGGTGATGTCCTACTTCGCATTGAACACGTGTCCCGCGTCTGCTGGATGGCCTGACCCCGTAGGCGCGTGCTGGCAGAAACAGACCGGTCGTTAGGCGGCATGTTTTGCTCGCGGTGACGCCGGGTAAAGTCAGGGCCTTGTGCCCGGGCCTGTCCCCAGCGCCCAGTGGCCGCCGGAGTGCACCTGGCCCGGGGTCACTCGCTAAAACTGTCGCCTCCCCCGCCCCCCCCCAAAAAAAGTGGTGGCCGGCGCCTCCGCGACTCAGGCTCACTTGAGGTTGCTGTCGCCGGCTGCCAGTGGTCGTCGACGCGACCCTTACAGCCGGCCCTTCAGGGACGGCCCTGCAGGGCCAGAGTTAGTCTCCCCCCATGGATGTTATCGCGCCCCGCCCTGGATCACCAGCTGACCTGGGGCGATGTCATCGGCTGTTCCGCGCGTGCCCTGCTCTCACCAATGAGTCTGCACCAGCAGCTGGCAGGCGCGCCGCTGAGCTGGCACCAGCGGTCGGCAAGCGCGCCGCTGGGCTGACACCAGCAGCTGGCACGCGCGCCTCTGGGCTGACACCAGCGGCCGGCATGCGCGCCGCTGTGCTGACACCAGCGCGCTCCAATATCGGGGCTGTATCGAACGCCAGGCTTGAGATGTTTCGCGGTAAGAAGCCGGTCAACTAGCTGACTTTCAGCAATCTGCTCAGACATATTGGAAGCCTGCTAATAAGGACTAGGACAGGCGATCCTGCAGCATCAAGGGCACCTAGCACTGCGTCATACGTTGTTTTCAGACCCCGTGTCGCAAGGGAATCCCACTCTTCATCTCCCGGCTGAGTGTGGGCTATTTTCAGGACCATTGCCTCACCCATTAGGCGCCGCGTGCGTTTTGGCCGGCCGCCCGGCTCCGTGCCGTACCGTCTGGCCGCACGCCCACCCATCTGCTCTCATTGGCAAACGCACCGAAACCCACTCTGTGTTTCTCTGTGATGGATCGTGGGTTCCAGAGCCGCTGATAGCATCAACGCCTGGTGGGTATGCTCCGACGCTGACAATGGCTATTTTTGTGAGCGATCGATCAGGACCCCGCTCACCTTTTGCTGTTACCGGCGCTGACGCCGGCGACGTCTGCCCGGTGTACAGTTGCACGGCGGTGTTTTTTCGGTCGCATATCGATCGTGGAGCCGGCTACGGCGGCGTTTTATGCATGCAGCTGCCGCCGCCGCCGCCGCTGCCGCCGCGCGCCGTTCCGGTCTCCGGGGCCATGGGCGCCGTCACACTCCGCCTGCCGGCCGGCTGCGCCGCCGTGCGCTGCGACGCCGCGACGGCGCCGCGCTCGCCTCCCGGGCTGCCCTGCTCACACCGCCGGCCGCCGCTGACGTATTGATCTGCATTGTGGCGGGCGCGCCGCTTGCACCGTTCGTCGAAGTGCCGGCAGCGGCAGGCCGCGGCGTGGACCGGGCCCGCGTGAAGGGCGCGGCAGGGCGCTGGCACCGGCCGCTGTCGGCCGGGGTCAGGGCGGCCGGTCCCGGCTGGACCCGGGCCGAGGCCGGGCCGGCCGGGCCGCTGGCCGGTCGCGCTGTTTGTGTTGCGCTTGGGATCGGCAGGGTCGCCGGGGGCTGACTCGATCCCCCGGGCCGGGCCGGCCCAGTTCGAAATGCATCAGTGGTGCTCAAAACGCGACGAGAGCGACTTACGTCAGACTGAGGGGCCCAACCATAATCAGCCGCTGACAGCCGGTCGACCTTGTGATATTGATTTGCGTCATTTTTGGTACAGCAGGCTAAGATTTATTCGGTGTATTCTCGCTAAAGCAGGCTAAGCAGCCCAGTTTCTGAGAGGCTCGCCGTCAGTTTGCCAATGATTTATGATACCGTGAGCCGTGCTCGTGTGTCCGCCGGGCGTCGTAAGCAGCGGCGTGAACTGACCCGTGCCCGGGCAGGGGCGGCCCAGGCCGCCGCCCGCCTGCCGGCCAGATGCTGCGTCCTTTCATGCGACAGCGCTGGCCCGATGGGCGGGCAGCGGTGAGTCGTTTCGCGGGCTTGCCAGCCATGTGTTGGTTTAGAGTAACTTTGCGTGCCGATGTGCTGCATTGTGAGTCAGAGCCGGTGTTTGGAGTGTACACAGTTCGGCGAAGTGGCGTCTGAGAGGTCGCCGGGCGGATGGATGGCGATTCGACAGCATGTCCGCTGAAGGGTTCGGTGAAACTGAACCGGGTTCCAAGGAAGTCTTTTTTCGCTCAAAGGTAGAAATAGCTCGCTGTAATCGTCTTTACCGAGCAACTTGGCTTAAATGTCGAGGACGTCACCAAAAAGCACCAGAGGGTGTGTGGTTTGCAGAGGCGGCAACATCAAAAGGCATTCTACCAAAAACCAGAGAGAAGATGGTGACATGAAAGCATGCCTACCGCATAGGCTTCCAGGGCACTATTTTGTGGCGAAATGCTGTGTCCTAGAGGCATAACCGCGTTCTAATCCAGCAACCTGTTGGTGATTTGTTACTTACACTAATGTGTGTGTTAATTGGCTATAACACTGTCCATATACTCTCGCACAGTAGGGACAACTAGTTAAATAAGGCTGATGCGCGCGTATAGAGCGTGCCATTTTGCATGCCGTCGTCTGGCGTCTGTTCGCTGTCGTCTGGCACGTGACGAGCGGTCATGCCCGTCACCCGCCGCTGACGCCCGCCCAGCTCGCTGTTCCGCTGTGTCGAAATTAAATATTTGGGGTGGAAAATGGCACCTTTTACGAACGATTCCGGGCTCTTGGTTTCGGGCCCTCTTCGTAATTTCGATCTCTAATTTAGGTGTGTTTTGTAATTTCCGCTGTTTTCGGCCTCCTTTAGGGCTTTGGCGAGGACATCTCGGTCTCCGTGACGCACATACTGAGCCGATTTCGGTCTCCTCGGCACAGGAACCGCGGCGATTTCGTTTTCGGTGGCACATGAACCGCGGCGATTTTGACATAGCGTACTGTTTCAGGCACCGGCACGTTCGGTCGCGTCTGTCTCTGCCGCGAGAAGGCCACCCGATCCTACTGGGCCATGAAGATCCTGGCCATCCAGGACGTCATCAGGTTGAAGCAGGTGGAGCACATCCGAAACGAGAAGCTCATCTTGTCCGTTGTGCGACACCCGTTCATCATCGAGATGTGAGTATAGCGAGCGACGTGTGACCACATTGGGGACATTGGCTGTCGGTGTCCCGTGCGCACGCGATATGCGTGGTATACTGTGTAGATGTTCTCAAAAGTTATGGTGTTCATCATGTTGTCTGTGCATAGGTAATGACGCTTTGTCCCTGCAAATAACTGACGATGCTTCCCCCAGTTTTGGACATCCTCGTTTTTCTGTTGTCTTTTGGACGACGACCAATTCCTCCAGTTTTGAGCGTCCTCAACACGCATCAGCCGACAAGCGCTCATGCCATATCATGCCATATCATACCATGTCGAGACGTTAGGGGCCGGTAGCAGCACCCATGTTAAAGGTCAGGTGACGTCAGAGGGCAGGACGGACCGTACCCAGCATTGCTGCACGCAATGCTTTCGTCGTCAAATGCTGCCGGTGACTCAGAATTTCACGATCGGTTGGTGGGGACCAGGGGTTTACGCAATTACCCCTATTTAGCATGGGTGCTGATCCCAGAAATCCATTCAACCAAAAGGTGGGGTCTAAATTTTGAAAGTTGACTTGGTGCCCGAGACAAAAAGACAGCTGCAATTCCAGACACCGCGCCAGAGCACTGCTCAAAGACCCCAGTCGCGTCAATGTACAATTCCTGGTCTGGCTGCTGACGCACAGACGGATTTCACCGAACTTTCAGTCAATCAAGGCCAATGCGATCTCTAAGAAAGTCTTTGTGAGTTGGAGCCGAAATTTAGCCAAACGCATGGCCTAAGATCGTTGGTAAGTGACTCCAAGTAGAAAAGTTACAGGAAATATTTTGTTTCTGGCAGCTCTAAAAGTGTTTCATGACGAAATGCATGGGTACATTTACATCGCAGCGTTTTGTTGTTTATGAGGCTCTTATAACGGAATTTTATCTTTGAAGACCTTGCCCGTCTCCAAATATTGTTGCTTCCCAAATATTTGCTTGCAAACATTTTCTTCGACCTCTAAAAATATCACGACTGGATTCGACTCTATCGTAATCGGTTCCGAAGTTCACCCAGGCGATCTTCTCGAATCGGGATGGCATTTGACTCTGCTGCTTGGAGTCTGGTTCGTCACCGCCCCCGTGCGCTTATACTCGAACCCTACTCCCCTCGATAAGTATCGGGCGCAGGTCAGAGTTGTGGGATCTGATATCCTTTCTTCGTGGCTTTATGGCTGATGGGATCATAACTCCTTTGCTGATAGTACTATGGATGAGGCGCCGCATGACCATTTGCAGGTGACGTGCCCTAAAACTTCAAATCATTATCATCGTCAGCGTGCTATGGACGTGCACCCTTGTCCAGGATCCTGGATCATCAGTCACTTACAGTATGTCCTCGGGCGGAGCAACACGACTGTTGCGTAACGATAAAGTGAGCATATGAAGGTACTGTTACGCCATCCACCGTCTCAGAGAATGCCATGAGCCCTGCTGACGAATTGCTGGTGATATTACCTTGGTTCGTAACCATTTGGCATACTCGACGGGCATTATTTTGAGGTCACTTGTAAATAAACACGTCATTAAATCGATACTCGACACCGAAACCAGGCTGCACCTAAGCAAATGAAATCTGCGATGGACGTGACTCACTACCAACAAACGGGCCGCCGGAGAGCAGTGCCATTTGTTTGGCCCGGCGGCGCGGCTGGCCGGGTCGGCCCGGTCGGCCGTGACTTACGAGCGGCCCAGCGGGCCGCCAGCCCCGGCCGACCGCCGCTCCCAGCAGCGCGCGCCGCGCGGTGCCGTGGATGTGCTATCCGGCTTGACGGCACCGGAGCTCGCTGGTGCTCCATGACTCTGCCCTGTGGGGGCTGGGCGGCCGCGGCTAGCCCGGGGTATGTGGCACAGGGACATCGCCTGGACGCAGCGATATCGGCTGAATGTAGGGACATCTACTGGATACGGAGATATCGGCTCAACATAGGGACGTCGGCTGAACTCAGGGACCTCAGCTAAACAGAGACGTAACAGAGGCGTCGGCTGAACGGAAACAGAAACAGAGACGTCGGCTGGACGCAGGGACATCACCTGGACACATGGACATCGGCTGAACGTGGGACATTGACTGGATATAGATGTATCGGCTGAACACAAGTATATCAGCTGTATACAGGGCATTTTAATGCGTTTGACTCGACTGGATCAGGCCGGAAAGAAAGATATGTTGGGTTCCCAGTCACGTTGGAATTGCGGGCAACGAGTGGGCGGACGCGGCTGCCAGGCGAGCAGCGCTGGCTCCATGTGTTCGCTCTCTTTCTATTCCTGCCAGATACTTTTGCGCTGCAATAAAAACCTTCCTGCACAACAAGTGGCAGCGTTGTTGTGATCGGATGGATGGTAATAAGCTTAGAGAGATAAAACCTAAGCTGGGTCAGTGGTTCTCTTGTTTCCGCAAAATGCGGCGAGAAGTGATCCTCTGCAGATTAGGCATCGGGCACACGTACGCAACCAACGGCTATATGTTGGAGGGAGTCGATAAACCTATCTGTCATCGATGTGGTGCAGTCCTTACCGTTCGCCATATCCTTATTTCTTGTCCGCGCCTCGCGGAAAAACGCCAACGTTACTTTGGACAGCATGACTCGCCCCTTACCCTCTGTGATATGCTAGGAGATAACTCACCATTTCTGGAATCTCAACAGATCTTTTTGTTCCTCAAACACATCAACTTTGGGACCATTTATGCGGCTCATTAGATAGGTAAAACCAAACTCGTTATGGGCGCCAAATGACCACCGCAGTCGGCGCGCCCGTATACTCCAATCACCAACCAACCACCACCAACCAGGTATATGAGCTGAACACAGGAGCAGCGGCTGGACGCAGGAACACCGGCTGGATACAGGAACATTGGTTGGACACAGAGACATTCGACTGGACGCAAGGACATTGCCTGTACACAGGTACTTCGGCTGGATGCCGAACATTAGCTGGACAAGAGCTGGCCCGCTGGCTGGAGGCTAGGCTCGCTGCACTCGCACCACGTCTCACCACAGATCCATCGGACACAGGGCGGACGGCAGGGCATGGTCATCGGCCGGATGCAGGACTGCTGAACCGAACACAGGGTCAATACCGGCCTGAGGTCCCACCGGACCGGCCAGGACCGTCTGCCCAGCTCGGGCGCCGTGCGTCCGGGAGTGCCGCCGCTGGTCCGACCCGGCCGACCTCGCCGCCGGGCCGCCGCCGCCGCCGCCGCCGCCGCCGCCGCCGCCGCCGCCGCCCGTCTATTTGCCTCCGGCGGGCGTAGCTGACCTCACCGGCGGCGCCCGGTGTCGAGACACGGCCCGGTGCGCAGGGGCGGCCGCTCAGCAGGCCGGCGGCGCTCCGCTCCGGACCGCTGGTGTTGGCACCCGCTCGCCAAGCGTCGACGCCTGCCGCCCGCCGCCAGCGGACCACCTGCCGCGCCGTGTCCGCGCCGTATCAGGCTTACGCGTGTCCTCGCGTGCTGTCGTGGGGCGGTGTCGTGGTGCTGTGCATGTGTTGCCATGGAAGTTTTCCTGGTAGAAAGCGAGCCGCCCTCTGATTAACAGGTCGGGAAGCTACTGAGAGCTGCTCTCGCCAGACGCCTGGCAAGCGCTCGGCCGTGTTCGCGGCCGTAAATCAGCGCCCTCTGATGATGTTGACTTTTGATCGGCGGTGGCGCGCGCCAGTGGCGGGGATGGCGGCCTCGGCGCCGGCTAGGCCCTCGTCTGGTGGAGCCAGTCCGCGGAAATGAGGCTGCCGGCGACGTGTGACGCACGCGACCGCCTGTTGATGTTGGACACCGTGTTGGGCGCTCCGACACGCCGTCTACGTCTGACGTCCGCACGTCCTGACCCCCCGTCCCCCACTACCGGGGGAGGTGGAGGGGGGGGGGGGGAGGTCAGTCCTTTGGGATCGACTGGTCTGGCGGCGAGAGGAAGAAAACTTTCCGCTCATTTGGTTTGGCACAGTGAGCGGCTGAAGGGGAGCCGAGGATTCTGGGACATGGCCAGCTTGAAACACTCAAATGACGTGAGCATCGTCCCGCTTGTTTAAAGCAGACATCTTACATCTGCAAGGCTTGTGCTTCATGTGGTGAGACACTGCAAGTTACTGCACTGTGGGTCAGCTTAATTTTAGGGGAGCTATCCGGCATCAGTTATCTCTGGGGACGATAGCAACTGCAGGATGAAATGGGAAGCTATGACGGCGTTGCATATTATACCGCATAGCAGACTCAGTTCCAATGGTTTTCCCCATTCCGCGGCGCCCTGCACCGATTTAGTCCAGCCGCGGCAGAGGAAAACGCGCACCGTGATGACGATATTTCCTGCCGGTTGTGTTGAGTCACGCGCTAGTGAAACTGCATGGACAAGTCATATTTGTAAGACCCTGACGAGCTGCGCTGGGCATACACGTGCCGTCACTGGGGCCTGCCTCGGCGTGTGGCCCGGCTGTGTCAACACGCGGCGGGGCTGACCTTGGCCCGGTGCGCACCGCACCTTGCCCTAGCCCCGCCCGTCAAAACAGTGCCGTGAGGAGGCCCACCGCCGCCGCCGCCGTCGTCAGACCGCCGCCGTTCCGCCTGCGGTCCCTGGCGGCTCAACTTCACCACACCAGCATCGTCAGCGTCATCGTCACATCAGCGGGCTCGCCGTCAGCCTGATCATGCCACCGTCTTGACCATGCCACCGTCTTGACCATGCCCCCAGTCTGACCATGCCCCAGTCTGACCATGCCCCCAGTCTGACCATGCCCCAGTCTGACCATGCCCCAGTTTTACCATGTGCCCAGCTCTGTCGCAGTCCTTACCATGCGGCCGGCGTGACCATGCCGCATTAACCAGCCGTTTGCCGGACGTGCGGCTGTCCTGAGCCTGCGCTGGCCTGGGGCTCCGTGCGCTGTGCCGTCTGTACGCCCTCGCGCCGCCGGCTGATGTCCGGGCAGCATGACACGGGCCGGATGCGGTGTCCTTGTGCCCGGAGTCGGACTGTGCTGATGTCGGAGCCCTGCAGGACGCTGTCGGCCTGGGACGGCGCTCCTGTCGGACCCGGGCAAGCGGCAGAGCCGGCAGTGCCGCGCTCTCAGCGCCTCGCCCGGAGATGCCCCCGTCTCGTGCTTATCCCGCCGTGTGCAGCGTGGCCGGCAGCGCTGCACCCGGAGATATCCCCGTCTCGTGGTTACCCTGCTGTGTGCAGCGTGGCCGACAGCGCTGCGCCCGGAGATGCCCCGTCTCGTGCTTACTCTGCTGTGGGCAGCGTGGCCGACAGCGCTGCGCCCGGAGATGCCCCCGTCTCGTGCTTACCCTGCTGTGGGCAGCGTGGCCGACAGCGCCTCGCCTGGAGATGCCCCCGTCTCGTGGTTACCTGTGGCTGCGCTGTGGCCCGGTTACAATGGCTGGCGAGGCCTGGGATGGGACGGGCCGACCGACCGAGGAGAGCTCTTACGGCTCGACCCGGCCGTAAATATCGGCCCATCTGGGCAGACGTCGGCCCGCCTCGGCAGAAGTCGGGATTGTGGCGCGCCGCGATCCGTTCTGCCGCACTACAGGCGTTCTTGACGTGCTGTTTGAGGGTCACCAGTGATACTAGGAGGCTGAACCCCGCAGCTTCAGCCACCGCAGGCGCCTGCGCACCGCCCGCTGTAACGAGAGCTCTGTTTCTACTGATCTGGCGAAGTTCATACACTTAAAATGGCTTAGATTTGTGCTGATGCGGGCGATTTGAATCGTGATGTAATGGTACATTTGTGGGGTTGTCTTGCGAAGTGGTCCAATTAGTTGAATGGGTAGGTATCACAGAATGATAATTACTGTTCAAATTTAATTGATCAGAATAATTTGTGTATACGCAGGAGGTTTGCGTATCAAACTGAAGCGGAAATTATGAAGAAACCTAATTTTTTTAAAAAATTATGAACGTCGGTCAAAAACTTGTGTTGTAGCGTTATGTGATGAGACACGCTTTCGCTTATAAGTCCGAGATTGGACGGATTTATGTGCGCTTCACGCAGTGCGCGGACTAGTTATAGCTCATTACGTCATCACGAGGCAGTTTTAGCGGTCGTTCGGTACAACACTGAGTGAGATATGACACTCAGAACAAGCAGGCCTTAAACGGCTATAACCTACCTCAAGCCCGGTCGAACCACTTAACTATGCTCGGCCATGCACGCAATGTACAGGCTTACCCCTACAGCACGTACACAATGCGACAAATGAGGTGCGCCGCCAGCCGACACCGTAAGTGGATAACCGGTTTCCCGCGCATTCCTGCTGCTCGCGCCCAGTCGCCGCTATCCATACGTTTTTTTTTTATCCGTTCCCGTTTTCCGCATTTTGCTGCGGTCATGACGGCACCGGTTGGCTGCGGCGGCCGGCTGACGGCTGCTGCTGGTCTGTTCCCCAGGTCGTGGACGCATCATGACAAGTCGTTCCTGTACATGCTGTTCGAGTACGTGGTGGGGGGAGAGCTGTTCTCGTACCTGCGCCACGCCGGGCGGTTCTCCAGCAGCTCAGGTCAGTGGCCGCCGTCCGAGGACCCTCGCCGCCACGCGCTCCGCCGCCGCTCAAGCTGACAGGAGGAACTGGAGCGTATCCCGGATGTAATGAGGGCTCTTCTTATGGAATTGCTTCGTTCCAGCAGCGGGCGTTTTCCAGAAGCTGCATGTAATTTGTATAACTGCACACCCGGATGTCGCTATTTTTGTGGGAGTGAGAGCTCACTGGGCAAGCATTAAAGAACGTATCCAGGACGTGGTCGGGTGGTGACACGCACAGTACACGTCTTATGAAGTTCGTGTTCGTTACGTTTAGTGGCAGAGTTTTATGTAGACGACAGGGGCGTAGTTTCACAAAATGAGCTGGGGAGGGACCGGGAGGAGTGAAAAAATAACGCAACCTACCCGCAAAATAAGCTTAGGGACGGGTTTCTACCCGGATTTAGACCATCTTTCCTCTCAAAGTTGGGGGAGGGGATGGCTTGAGCCCCTTCCCCCGAATGACTAGGAAACTGTACCCATGATAGATGGTATGCATTGTGTCGTTTTCCTGTCGCATGGTAGGTAAATAGTTCTCGAAGGACTCATTACAAACGCAATTTATCCTCGTAATATCTTCCGTCTTCTGGCTTGACCAAATGTGGCATATTTTTCCAGCCAAAATGTACCTTTCCAGGGGGGGGGGGGGGGTCGTTGGTTATGTTGCGGTGCCAGGCCCGCACTCTTGCTCGCTGAGTTTGCCGGCGGACCAACGCCAGCATCACACTGCTGTTGACGACGGGATGCTGTTGGGCTTGTGCTAGCACGCGAGAGTCGGCGGGCACGGCTCTGCTATGGCAACAACAACACGAGCTGCACTATGCTCGTTCAGTTTACATAGCTACGTAATCGGAGCCGACGTGCATCGGCTGTCTGCTGCGTCAACAGAGGGAAACGGTCGCTCGATCATGCCGGCGTGCATAGCCTTTTCGCTGCAGATATCGACATCTCACGCAGTATGGTTCTCTCTTCGAAAACACGGCGATTCTGCGAACCAAACACAATGTCTCTTGCCGGTCTTGTTTTGTGGCGCATGCGCCGGCGGCCATTTCCGGGTGTATTCCAGTCGCTGCCACCGCCAGACGGCTGGCGGCCGCCCGCCATGACCGGCTTGGCCGGGGCCCAGGCGAAGCGGGGAGTTTGCACCGGGCCGCGGCGCCGCCGCTGGTAAACAGCGCACCGCCGGCAGCGGCCGTCACCGTCAGCCGTCGGCGGCCGACCGTCGGCCGTCACCCGTTGGTCATCGCCCACCGCCCGCCGCCTGCCGCCTGCCGCCTGTTGTCCGCCTCCCGTCGGCGGCGACCGCTCCACGCCGCCTGTGGCAGCTACCCTGCCCTGACTTACCCTGCCCTGTCCGACCCTACCCGACTCTGCCCGGCGTTGCCCGATTCTAACCGCCTGGACCTGCCCGCCCGGCCCTGCCCTGGGCTGGACCGGCCCGGCTTGGTGGCGGCTGGCTGCGGCAGGCCACAAAGTGGTCAAACCGCACCGCCATTGCGCGTGCCTGTGCCGCGGGCCCGAGGCGCCCTGTAGAGCGGCGTGGCGCCAGGCTCACGGCGCCGGGGCGGCGCGGCGGCGCGGCGGCGCGTGCAGGCGGCCGGCCGCGTGACGGGCGGCGTCTGGGGTGAGCCGGCGAACACACGTGTGGTAATTGCAGATATGTGATGATCGCAAATTGTGCACGCCCTGGGGCGGGGGGGGGGGGTCCTACGGTGCACAAAGAAAGAAGCTGGCTGTGTTCATTTCTGAAGCCTTGTCTGGTACTTTGAGTCCCCATAATGTTCACCGAAAAAAAGACAATATCGAGCTTGACTGAGGAATGTCAGTCACAGTTGTTCCCATGCAGTTGGGAGCTTTAAGGTAGGGGGTCACTGTCAACGGTGATAGTTAACTGCTGTTAGATCGATGATACGGACACACTTGTTTATCACCGTGTTTCGCGATGCGAAACATTTAGCAAATATCGTATTTTTCTCGTCACCGCAGAGTCTTGCTACCAGGAGAAGATTAGGAGTTGCTTGAGGTAGGTGCTGCAAACTCGCTGCACAGCCGAAGTGGCCTGCCCTCCTCTGGTCAGCGGGAGAGGGGTCTAACCCTGACCTGCAACTCTCGATAAGTAAACACACGACGTTGTACTTGGCAAGTCGATGTGCACGACAACCTTCACTATGTTTGCAGTCACGAAGCAAGCTGTTTCAACCGGCTAGGCTTCCTGGCGGCACCTAAACAAAGCCCTTGCACGGCGTGTTTTAAGCGCGGCTTGGCACGCTAATTCTTCAGAACCCCGCCGCAAGCCGGCTAGTATCACACGAGGTAGTCCCAAGCCCTGTCCTTTTTAATTTGTGTGGTGTAAACATAAAGTGGGGGTGCTTGCTGTTCCATGCATACGTTTTCTATCCTTCCATACACCGAAATAAACGTCTGGTCGCATCGGAGATTACGTCACCATTACAACTTCGTTTGTGTAATGCGTCGCCGCCATTTTTTGTCGCAACAGCGCCACTTCTTCCGAGATGGACTTAGAATGAGACTGACAATGCTGCAGTCCGTGAAATGTTTCGATCGCAGACGATCTGCCGGCGAGCCAGCTGGAGCTGCTGTCAAGTGCGCGGCGTCCACAGCATAATTCCATCCTAGCAGGCTTTGCGAGAGCCCTCCGAAGCTCTCCGTCAAAGTTCCGTGTTGTTCAGAAGTTTGGAAAAACAATCAGTGGGCGATGGACAGAGTGGCGTCTGATGCGGCCCGGACCAACGGTCGCCGCCTCGGCAAATCTGGCGAACCAAAAGCCGTTTTCCATGTCTTTAGAGGATGCACGCTTTTGATGCATACGGCCGCGGGTCCGCGCAGCTGTAGCCTGGCTAGGACGGCAAAGTAAATATTAAAGTTTCCCCGAGTCCCACGAGATTCCCCACGCTTCCAGCTCATGGACTCTGAAAGTTTGCTATCAGTTAATACTATGCAGACGACGAGCCTACCAAGAAGCTTCGATTTGCTGGAGTTACTTGTATTTAACAGCGTAACAAACATTACTACGCATTTGAACAGATCGGTGGCGTCTTGACAGCATAGACAGCAGGGCGATGCCTCCCCTTGATCAGAATAGATCATACAAAACTACGCATTGCACAGTTGCAAATCTGTCGTGCCGTATATTCTGAGAACATTCGATAACGTCCCGATCCGCGAATGTTCTCTCGGAACTGCGACAGCCCAGGAACATTCGTGCACGGTCCATCCATGTATGGGCCGGCGACGGTGCGGGATCTCAAACGCTATGTCGGTCTGTGATCTGTCCGGCGAGCGGGCACTTGTCAATCCAGCCGTTACCCGCCGCCTGAAATGTCGCCCGCCCCCGCAGCCGGCAGCACCTCCGCTGGCGCGCACCGCGGCCGCTATCGTGACAGTGACGGTCCGTCGCCATGACAACCGCGCCCTGACCGCCGTGGGCGTCCCGACAGGTCTGTTCTACGCCACGGAGATCGTGTCGGCCCTCGAGTACCTGCACGCGCAGTCGATTGTGTACCGCGACCTGAAGCCGGAGAATCTCCTGTTGGACCGAGACGGCCACCTCAAGATCACCGACTTCGGCTTCTCCAAGAAGCTCAATGACAGGTGGGGGCTGAGATCAGCGTCAGACGCGTGCAGATTAGCGTCTCGCCAGAGAACGGAAGACTTCGCTTACCATGTTTACGAGCCCCGCTGAAACCCTGGCGATTGTGAAAAGTTGTCATTGTGAGTGATGTCAGCAAGAGCGGGTTTATGAAGCTCCGCATGTGGCCAGCGTTGGCTCGCGGAACTCCAGGTAAGGTCAGTGTCAGGCCAGTGAAGGTTCGCTCGGTGCCAGGCGTGTGAAGGCCGGTCGACCCCAATGTCAGGCCAGTGGCAGGCAATGTCCGATGGTCAAAGTTCACTGGCCGTTCGCCGGGGGCCGGCGGTGAGAGGGAGGCGTCTGTGACGTGTCGGGGCAGCCCTACGACGCACCAGCAGAACCCCTCGCTCCGAATGGGCCTCAGGTGTTGAACTGAGCCCGAGCATCTGTATCGTATTGCTTCGCCCCATGGGGTTGAATGATTGTTATGTTTGGTGCTGTTCTATTGGTTTAGGGTACATTTATGATGGACCCCCGTGTCCGTCGAGCAAAATGTGATGCGTAAATTATCGGGTTCTTGAAATGATGACGATGCATAATGCTGCAGTAAACCATCAGAATTGTGTCATTTATCGCCCATATATGAGAACTTGCACCGCTGTGTTGGAATGACGTCACTGTTTTCCTTGCGGGACGGCCTCTGATATTGTGTCGCTCTCGGTTGGCCATCGCTGGTGTCACGGCGCCATGGAGCCGCACCGCAGCCTGACGCATCACAACATGGTGTGTCTGGACTAACGCCTGATGGCGTGTCTGGCGCCGCCTGGTGGCGAGTCCAGGCGGCGGCGAGCGGCCGGTGACGAGTTGGGATGCCGGCAGGACGTGGACGCTCTGCGGCACACCCGAGTACCTGGCGCCGGAGATCATCCAGTCCAAGGGGCACAACAAGGCGGTCGACTGGTGGGCGCTAGGTGAGCCTGCTGTCGTTGACAGGCACCGGCCGCCGCCGCTGGCCGCTGGCCGCTGGCCGCTGGCCGCTGGCTCTTCGTGCGCGCGGCTTCTGAGTACAGCGGGGAGCGCGCTGCGTCAGGCAGCTTTGGGTGATCGCGTGGCACATTGCCAGGTCGGAATGGGCGGATTCTTGTCTGGAACTGAACGCACCATTAATATCTGCGGTAGTTTGAAGTGGTGTTTCATCGATCAGAGCTTTTGCTGGTTTATTTTCGGGGAACCATTGGCTCCCCTATGTCACAGCTCCTTCTATTAATTTTATTTTGGGAGAGCGCTATTCCCGTTTGCGCGCTGAACTTTCGCCGGAGACCCCACACGGACAGACGGTGACACGACGCTAAATGGCTTGCGCCGCCCGCGCGCAGGCATCCTGGTGTACGAGATGCTGGCCGGCTATCCGCCTTTCTTCGACGATAACCCGTTCGGCATCTACGAGAAGATTCTGGCGGGCAAGATAGAGTGGCCGCGACACATTGACCCGGTGGCCAAGGACCTGATCAAGAAGCTGCTCGTGCAAGACAGGACGAAACGTCTCGGCAACATGAAGGTGAGTAGCCGACGGCGCCTACGCCCGCCGTGTAACCCGACGCGGAGCCACCCGCCGGCGTGGGGTTTGTTATGACACGGTGTCCCGCCCGGAGTGTACCAGGTTCCAGCCTGTCAGACTTTGAGCGTATGCGCGATCCCAAGTGATAACGGATATCACAAACAGCGACTCTTCGCTGATGAGCACACGCTTTGCTATGTTTGTCCTGTTCTTATCGGCGCGTGTCGGCATGGGGAGATGAAGGAAGGGGGGGGGGGGGAGGGGGCAACGCCCCGTCCCAAAACGTAGGGCAAAGTTCAGTGCAGACGTTACCCGCCGAAAGTTCGTTCGACAGGAATGCAGGCCCTACTCCACTATCACCCTGACTCCGAGCCCCAGCCTCGCTTCGGTTTCTCCCGATGCGGTTGTCACAAAAGATCGCGACGTTCTTGAGCAAGGCAGCCAGGCAGCCTTCATGTCGTGAGAACAGCTGACAAGCACGATCGGCGTCGTAACAGAAATCGATCATTTCGAAGTAGCCGCGTGCGTCCACCTCACGTTACCAGGAGTCTTATACAGACTGACTTCCGCCGCGCGGAGCGTGCTTTGGCAGGGTGCGTTGCTGAATCACCAGCTCGTGCGTCACGCTTCTCGTTACGCTTCGAACTGGCCAGCGGTGAGTTCGGTGGCAGCAAATGATGCCAGCCAACTCCTCCGCGGCCTGATGAGATCCTGGCCGGGACGGTGTTTGGCTTCGCTTGATTGGCGCCGCCGCCACTTCCGCCCGACTCTCGCCAGCTTAGGCCGTCAAAAGCGACCCGCTCGATTGCTTTCAGCAGGTGCCGGAGTTGGATGATCAGGGGCCGGGCCTCGTCCCACCAGCGTGCCGCGAACGTCTCCGGAGTTGGCAGGCGCAGTCGCTTACGTGGGTGATATTGTGGCGAGGAGGCTGACGCACTGAATGGGAATAAGCTGGCGGGAGAACCGCTATGCCCCGAGACACTTACAGCGATGTCAAAGCAGCCGCGATGTGTTGATTGGACGGAGTTTGATAGCGATCCCTGTCACGCTTATTGTAGGGACGCGGCCCTGGCACGGGGGTATGTCCCGCCACGTATCGTGCGTGCCATGCGTCGTCGTTCGTCACGCCGTCCACGAGAGGGTGTCCGTTCGTCGCGTTGCGTGCCACGCCGGCCCGGCCACGCCCCTACCTCACGCCATTGCTTCACGCCGGCTGCCTCCTTTCCAGAGCGGCGCAGAAGACGTCAAACGACACAGGTGGTTCAAAAATACCAATTGGGAGGAGGTTTACTACAGAAAACTCAAGGTGAGATCAAAAGTGCCCGCGCGCCTCGCGGAATCTCGAGCACCTGCTGACGATGAACACTGCGTGGGAGTTGCGAGAGCTACGGATGCTGGGAGCTTACCCAATCTCCGCAGCTCTGGGTGCTTACCCCATCACTCGATGTCGGGAAGAAAACTTACATACGTTTTTGTGATCTTTCCTGTGCTTTTATTAAAACCCCGCACGTCTTTGGTGAGTCCCCTTACGTGGTATGGTGGACTTTTCTAAAATTATCGGGGAAAAAGAACGTCAGTTGCGAAAGCGTTGGTGTTGTCGAGAACACGCTGGCACAGAACACTCTGAGCGTCGCCGGGCCTCGCCGGCCATCGACCACTGCCCTGACCGGCGCCTCTGTTGCAGCCGCCCATCGTACCCAAAGTATCGTACGACGGCGACACGCGGAACTTTGACGACTACCCGGAGACGAACTGGCAGAAGGCGCCGGCCGCCAGCGAGAAGGACATGCGACACTTTCTCGACTTCTAGCAAGGTGCAGCGGGTGTGCAATGGACCTGGCCATACGGCCACGACTGTGTGGCGTGCGCCGGCGTGTCGAGCCGTGCCGTGCCGTGCCGTGCCGGGCCGGGCCGTGTCGTGCTGGGCCGGGCCGGGCCGGGCCGAGCCGTGTCGTGTCGGCCGGACGCTGGGAGGCGGCACGTCAACACCGCATGAGTGGCCCGCCACCCAGTTCGTCGGCGTTTGGTCGATGGCCGGCAGGGTCACGACCCCGGCGTGCCGTGGGCCGACACCGGCCGCCCCACCGCCGGCAGCGGTCGTGACCTGCCGTGACCTGCCGTGACCCCGCCCCGGCGGCCCGAGTCGAGGACACTGTTGCCTGGCTCAGCTGGAGCGCCGCTCCCCCGTGGTGCTCTGGCGACCGTGGCGCGCGTGTGGGAGGCGGTGGCGCCTCCGGCGCTGGCACGGTCCGTCCGCGGGACGAGCGGTCAGAGTTCGCGCGCCATGTGGTTCGCAGCCGGCTGGGATTGGTCGGCCGAGGTGCTTCCGCGAGTGATGCCTATTTATATCCCCTCGGGCGACGCGTTCCGTGTGGTCAGTTGACGTTTGTAGCGGAGTATGTTTAGACAACGGCTAGGACTTACGTGTTTCCTGCGACAATACCGCGCTGTCCCGTGATGCCAACAGACTGAAGAATAAGCTGTGTAAATGGAATTTGTGTCCATGTGTCAGTCTGTACATATTACGAAGTGCGCACGCAATACCGAGTATCCGTTACGGGGAGGGGGATTGTGAGGAAATCTGTGTTACGCCACGTTGGCTATTCGCTTCGGAGTTCCGTTGGCCAGCTCCCACTTGGTTCACACGGCTGGCTGGCGCCGTCCGCTCTGGGCCCCGCGCCCAGCGCTGAGAGCGCAGACCGGGCCGGGTTGGCGTGCGTCCCGCACCGTCTACAGCGCTTCGCACCCCACCGCTTATCGGCACGCGCCGAGGCTTACCGCGCGCTCCGTCCGGCCCGCGGGGAGGGGAGGGGGAGATGGGCTGCGCAGTGCGGCCGGAGCCGGTGGCCAGCTGGCGACCGCCGGGGACAGCTGGGGTTGGCCGCCGGCGCCTTCAATTAGTGTCGTCTGGTTCACCGGTGTCGGGCGCCCCAACGCCAGGCTGGCCAGCTCCGATGCGGTCCCCCGGCGCTCACCAAACAGGGCCGGCCTCCTCCTCTCTGCCCGCGCTGGGACAGAACGCGCTGGAGTGGGCATCGGCGGCGTGACCATACGTTGATGCTATTCTCTAGCCCATGCCGTTAGAAGGCGCATATTGAGATGACCTGGACTAGTCTCGTGTCCGTTATATTTCGTTACTCGTGTGAGCGCTCAGCCCTTGAACCGTACCAGGATCCGCAGATGACGGTCTCGCAGATCGCCATCGCAGACGCAGACGGCGATCTCGACTTAGGGCACCAGCTCAAATAGCTTGCACCAGAAGGCGAAGGGCGTTACAAGAATGCCACCTGCACGCTCGGACGCATCAGATGCTTCGTAAGCCAGCGGTTGCAGAGGTCGGATCGGCCACGTGGCGGCGGGGCGGTACGGACCGCACGGCCGTCGACGCCATGCCGCGGCACCTCGGCGTGTCCGGCGGGGCTCTCAGATCCCCTCTCGCCGACTGTAGCTTCGCCTTCACTGCGCCGCCGCGGCCGAGGCCGCCGGCCGGGAGGCGCCGTGAGCAGGCGCAGCAGACGGCGGGGCGGTCCGCTGGTGACGGCTGCTCAGCCTGGCGCCCAGCCACAGCGTCCTGCGATGTGCCAAAATGTGCGCAGCGTACGCTCGCCGCCGGACGGCGCGCAGAGGTCAGGGGGAAGGGGAAATGTCAACCGGGGGCCAGGGTGCTAGCTGACAGGCCGACGTCGCCGCCAGCCCGGCGTTTGTTCTTTTTACGGTCGGACTCGCTGAGGGCCTCAATGGAAAGTTCGGGGTGACCCGTGAACAGATCCGACAGACAGGAAACCCAGCGTGACAAGTCATCAGCAGAGCATATACACAGGCCCCAGGCCCAGAAGCGCGCGGTACCCACTCGGCACGAGCCGGGCGCCGCTTGGCGGCCCCCGGTATGATAACCGGGACGATCCGCGTTCTGGGTGCGGGAATGGTGGCCCCCGAACAGGCTCCTCGCGGGCACGTGCCCGCGAGGAGCGGCGAACCGTCAGTCCGATGTATGTCCGGTTCTCCTCAGTGCGGGCGTGTGGGGTCGCCAGCGCGGCATCACCGTTGATACAGGGCCTCCCCACCCCGCCCCAGCCGCCACGCTGCGCAGCTTGGAGCCCGCAGGCACCTGAGACGCAGGTACCTGAGACGCCGGCGCTGTGCGGCCTTCACGTGCCAGTGTCGACAGATTGTAAATAAGCCTGGTACGCGGATCGGCGGCGTGCGCCCACCTACCGGAAGGTTCCGTGCCAGTCGCGTTGTCAGGAGCTCAGCTGTGAGTCTGTGGATGTGTTCAATTTTTGAATAAAACATATTTATCGAGGCGTGTATTCCATAAGAGGCGTCGAACAGCGTTGGCAACAACAGCGTCGGCGTTGACGGGCAAGGCGCATCATCGATGTGGTGTGGGGGCGCGGGCATCAGCCCAGCCGGCGGCGACAGAGGCGGGCGAGGGGGGATCGGACGCTGACCCGGTACAAGTCTGGTCACACACCTCATGCACCCGTGGGGGCGCGGCCCCATCGCGCCGATTCAGCTACACCCGCAGACGCGAACATAAAGAACCAATGTCAGGAGAAGAAACGCACGGCGCGGCGCTGCGGCCGGCGGATGTTCGGCGCGCGGTCGCGGCTCGGGACGCGCGGGCGGCACCTCCTACAACTCACTGGGTTGCTGGTTTCGCCGCTACTACGCTCGCCAGCCAGCCCGCAGATCGGCGCGCCTCGTACAAACCGCACAAAATGACGTACAAAGGCGACGAGCGGCAGCTGCGGAGGACGGGAGCCGGCGCGCCGCTCAGACGAACGTAAGCCGGGTGCGGCCTTGGTTCAGCATCCACACGTTCAGGTCCTGGTAGCTGTCGAGGCACTGCTCGATCTGGTCGGGCGTGAAGCCCTTGCTGGCGCACAACTCCTGCACGTCGGCCAGCCGCACCGTGCCGGCCACGCCGGCCAGCCCCTTCACCAGCTGCGGAGCGGGGCGGGGAGCAGAGCGTCAGACGGGAGTGTCCTGGCCCACCGAGGAGAGCAGGCGACGCACGTCGCACCTCCGAGACCATGCGGCACACGAGCTCCGACCGACGCCTTGCGTCAGCTGCATCCGCCGCACGGCGGCGGTCGGCTGCGCCAGAGAGCGCTCTCGCACTAATGGTCGTGCCAGCTACAGGAGTCGATAAACAACCAGTCCAGCGCCGTAGATGGACCGCCCGGCTGCGGCCGACACTCGGTAATCGGATGGGACAAAACGCCTTTACGGGTGGACGCGGCATGACGCAGCCAGCGAGCGCTCCGTGCGCATGCGCAGCAACTAAATACGATATCGCGTACGTCTTCCTACAGTTGCGCTGCATCCCTCGGGGGCCAGGCATGCCCAGGCTGCGAACGAGTTCTAATAGGCAAAACCTTTTGGGACGAAGAAACAAGTCCGTTAGACATGTAAACCACATTGCCGCGTACCACCCCGGCAGCGACAAATATGCTACTTTACCTCGCAAACGCATATTTAACATGCGTACTATAAATGGGCATTTCCAGGCGAAATTCAAAAGTTTCTCCGTCCAACCCAGCCGACAGCGATGTAATTACTCTAGCTGGCAAACGCAGTTTTCCCAAGAGATACGGGCAGTCCACGAATCAATTACGGGGCGGCGCGTTATGCATGTCAGGTGAAATGGCTTTAGCCTCACAGATACGTTGCCCTCTGATCTGTGACGACCTGATCCCTACGCCGTGCGTCTGCAATCCAGGCCAAATGGAAAAACAGCAATCCCGGCTGGATGGAAAACCACGCAGCGTGCAAATTTCGATTTATTCCTTCACATGTTCCTTGATTAGCTTCAAGATTCTTGAGATGATATCGTGCGTGCCCTTCCCTCTAAACGGGCATCAAAAGCGAGCCAAAAACACATGCCAATCTCCGTTCTCCCATGGATATGCCTTACCCAGCTCGACACCTTCATCAGTGCTTCACGAACTATCCCCAATAGCGGCGACAGAAAATTCCAGCAGGACTCACACAAGACCAGTTCCATCACGCACTTCACCAACGAGAAAGCATTGCAAACCTCAAAGATGGCGTTGGCGGTAGAGACGGGTGCGCGGCTCTCTACGTCGCAGTTCAGCGAGTCCTTGGACTTCTCCAGCAGCCGCATGGCCTCGTTGACGTCCTCCTTCTCCACCGTGTCCACCAGACGGAGACGGGCCAGCGCCGTGGACAGGCGAAGTATCGCCAGCAAGTTGCGAGCCGAGGTGAACGTCATGTCCTTGTTGTTGCGGGCTTCGCGACGCAGCTCGACGTATGCGCCTGCGAGGGCGGGGGAGGCGGCGCCGTCAGCGATGCGAGGCGGCGGTAAGACGCCGGGAGCAATGCCGAGGTTCGACACACGCGCTGGGGAATGGAGGATGGGGGGGGGGGGGGGGAGGAGTGTGGTCACCGATAAGCCAGGCATCTGTGGGGCACGAGGATAGCCCGGCAATACTCCCGGGCGAAGGTCACGCAGAACCCAGAGGGAATACCCGGCACACCAGCTCTAGGGACCGGCGAGGGCTAGGATGCTGATGGAGCCTCCTGTCTCGCACCCCACGACAGTGTCACCAAGCCTGCCAGAATATGTGCGCCATCCCGTCCACATACAGCGAACGCACGAGCTTAAGCCGTTCGTTGAACTACTGCAACTGGGGGGAGGGGAGTGGGTAATGATATCGCCAGGTCACTTCAACCGGCGTGGGCAACGATGCTGACGAACGCCAGATATCGAGCAAAACACGCCTGTAGTCAGCATGCGCGCCGCAGCCGCGCCCGACCTTGGCGGCCGGGTGGCTGGGCCTCCGCCGTCTCCGCCGCCGGCGGGATCAGGCTGGAGGTCTGGGTCGATGTCCACGTCGAGTCAGGGCATGATCAAGAGCGGAATCGGGACCCGGGGGCGGGATTACGGCCGGGATCGGGGTCGGGATCAGGGTCGGCACTGTCGACGGCGCCGTGATCTGGGCGGCCGTCGGCGTCGGAGCCGGATACTCACTGACGAGGTACTCGGCCAGACTCTCCGGCACGCGCGGCTGCTTGCGCCGGCACAGCGCCACGTAGCGCCGGATGAGCCGCATGCTCAGCGGCTCGAACTGCGTCGGCGGCTGCACGCAGTTCTGGTGCACGTACGTGATGTGCTGGGCCAGCCTGCCGACGGACGGTCAGAGGGTCATCCGGCGCGGCGGCGGGCCGGTAGGCGTACGGGCGAGCGAGCGGACAGCCCCCGGCCGATGGCCACGAGCGAGGCGCGACCGGAGCCAGACATCACGGTCAGGTATCGCACTGTGGCGAGTGTTACACCACATGCGATACGACGTCGGTGTCCCGGACCAGCCCAGCGCAGCACCCAGTGTTGCTGGTGGCATCACCTCACACCCCATGTCAGCCTTGCATCATGACATCCAGTCGGAGCATTGCCAGACGGAAGTCACGCGGCCAGCGCCCGGGACCCCCCGGGGAGACGACCCCCCCCCCCCCCCGGAGCCCGTTCCGGCGCCCGGTTCCGCCGGCGCCTGACCTGAGGTCATTGTCGCGGTCGGCCTTGTCCATGAGCAGCCAGAGCAGGTCGAAGCGGGACAGCAGCGCCGCCGGCAGCTGGATGTTGGCCTCCACTGAGCGCTTGGGATTGTAGCGGCCGTAGGCCGGGTTGGCGGCCGCCAGGATGGAGACCCGGGCGTTCAGTGACGTCATGATGCCCGCCTGAAATCCAGCACGGGGCGCTGTCAGCGCCGGCACACAAGGTCAGCGGCGGCACGCGGCCCCGTTCCAAACGGGGCGCGAGCCACTGGCCCGTCGCTCTTCCTAAACGGACGTGAGTGCGATTGTATCGCAGGCAATCGGTTTGTCCAAATCGCCCCACGAGCCGACTGGTCGGGATCACGGGGCCGTGCCAACTCGGTGCTAAGCGCTGGAAGCGAATTGGCAGCGAGAAATGGAAAGAGGAACAGGCAGCCGGCGTAGAAATGAAAGCGCAGTCGTCGTACCAACGTCATCTCGCATTCAGGGTGAGAACCGCTTCGCATGTGCGACTGGTTCATGCTTGTCACAATACAATACGTGCGCTAAACGGCCAAACCAACGTTTTTCGCGCCAACGGCCAAACCGTGGACGTTTCCGTCGATTGATTCCTAGAAGCACAGCCGAACTTAGCCCGCGCTTTCGCGCAAGAGAAATGTGCGTCACATCCTCCGCCAGGCGGCCACCTTTCGGACCGGACAATCGACTCCGACAGGCGGGCCGCGGGGGTGGAGCCGCGGCGTCCGGCGGCGCCGCCGTTTGGCTTGGCGGGGCGTGGCGGCCCGCCGGAGCCGCCCCCGGGCGTCTAGTCTCCGGCGGCGGCTGCGGCGAGCCTCAGACGGCGCCTTGATGTGCCGTCCGCGCCAGCCACATCACCGGCGCCATGAGTCAGCCGGCGCCTCACAAAGGCGGTCAGCCATCCTGTCTGAGCGCCTGTTATCGGCCGCCCGGCGGGAGTTCCGCTGTTTACAGTGCCGGAAGCGGCCCGGCAGCAGCCGGCCGCGGCCGCCGCGCGCCAGGAGAGCACCCACCGACGCGCCGACGGTTCTCACCAGGACGTGGCCGCGTTCTCATCCCATCGCCCGGCCGTGATTAAATCACCGTCAAATTCACTCCGAATCGATGACGATGGTCGCGCGCCGACGGAGACCGAGGGTGATAACCCTGCGCCACCTCTGCCACATCGGCGAGCCGGCGGCGGCCATTGGACAGACCAGCGCAGAGACTCGGGAGGGTGGCGGGCGGCCGACCGCATCGCCGCTGCGGGAGGCCGCGGAAGCTCCAGCCGCCGGCCACATCCACCAGCGCGCGTGGCCACAGCGCACTAAGGCTCTTCTGTTCTCCGAAAAGTCACGATGAACCTTTGTCCGACGCGATCGCAGCGCGACACATCCGTGTTTTCTGTTTACGTCTTCGTAACTTTCGTGACAATAACTGCGCATGGTGAGCGTACCACGCGTCCCTTTAACAATGGAAACTACAAATTATGCTGTTTGTAATGCATAACACACCTTTTCATCGTCCGCGGGCGGTCCCAGGCGCCAATATTGACTTGTTTATGACTGAACCAGTTGCGCCATTTCTGTCTAGCTTCAATCAAGTGACGGAAATAAGTTCTGCGCGTCCGACAAGGATCATGCGTGACGTCACGCATGCTGATGATGGTCGAAGTTTTAGGGTGCGCCGACTGCGATGGTTATTTTGCGCCGTGACGTCACGTAGACTCTTTGTCATCTGGACTGGCGCGATTACATCTAGACCACGCTTTTTCGTTACGGTGCGCACTTAACTGCGCGGATATGACACGGATATCAAATGGACTGAATAAATGGTTCAACGCCGTTCGATGAAATTTACAGCACGGTGCATCTCAAAGCAAGCATGTCCCATTCGCGCTACCAAAAACCTGCCCGTACACCCGCGTCAATGGGGCTTCATCACGCAACCAGGTGCTGATGCTCTACGACATCCCCGCCTCTCCCCCTGCCAGGAAGGACAGACATCTCGCTGGGATATCAGCGCGACCCACCCGCAGTAAAGAGGTGTCCTCAACAACCAGTGAGCATACTGATGAGCGGGAGTACTGACCGTGCGTCTTACGCAACGCACACTTCAACCCCGCACGCGTGCCCACACAGCTGGCGGATGTCGACGACCACCCCGTCCTGACGTTACTGCAGGCGCAACGATGTCCAATATTGCTCTGGACCCATCGTGAAACAGGCTGAAAGCGCCGTATTGCGCAGCGCACGAGCTTTAACGTGCTACTGGTTTTAATCAATGCCGCAAGCACAGCTGTAAGCTCTGATTAAGGCCCACAGCTTGTATCAAAAACAGGTTAAACTGGCTTTAATTTCGGCTCTGATTTCGGGCGGGACGGCCCCGACAGGTCAGACAAGACGCGCGGTCTGATAGCACCGCGCCGGTAACGCCCGTCAACAGTCACAACGCCGTTAGCCCCACCCCGAGAGCCCGACAGAATCAGAACGCTCGGGACCAATCTGTGACCGCGGGAGCCGGCCGGTCCTGCTCAGCAGCCGGCGGACCACGAAGCCAGCGCCAGCTCCAGCTCTCCGCCAGCCTCAAGAGCGCCATGGAGCGTGGCCCAGTGCGGATCGCGTTCGAAGAGGCCAGGCAGCAGTTCTCGCGGCTGCTGGAGCAGACACCGCTCAGCGGCGCCCTTCTGGCCGCCACGTTCGCCCAACTGGAGGCATGTCTGGCGGCCGGCGAGCGGCTGCAGGAGCGCCAGTGGCGCCACCTGCGGCGTCGCCTGGCCGCCCGCTGGCGCCGCCACAGCCAGGCCGCATGCCAGCCGCGCCTGCAGCAGCTGGCGCACCACCGCCGACTGCTGGCCGAGCAGCAGCCGCGCCTGACGACCTGCTGGCCGAGGCGCACCGCCAGCTGGAGCGGCTGGCCGAGCCGCCCTCCGACCTGCCCAGCCGGCTGCAGCGCAAATGGGACAGCATGATCGCAGTGGACGCGGACGGGGACGACGCTACTCCGCCGCCGGCGCCGGACGAAGACGCCGCTGCTCCGCCGCCGGCCACGGACGGAGACGCCGCTGCTCCGCCGCGCACCCTGAAGCCGTGGCTGATCGAGGGCCTGACGCTGGCTGAGACGTGCGTGAAGGGGCGCCTGCTGGAGCGGCTGCGCCAGCTCGAGTCGCAGCTGGACTGGCTCCGTAGCCAGCGCGACACCCAGTACCGGCCGGCCTGCGACTACGGCCACTGCCTGCGTCGCTTCCTCACCTGCACCGAGAAGACGGCACACAGCACCAAAGAGCTCATGAAGGTGAGGCTGCCGTCTGCCGTTCAGGCAGGGGTCAGTTCAGTCGCGTGAGGCGGATCTTGAGCCGACCTCCCTGGCAGCAAACCAACAGCTTCGGGTCCAGCTCCCGCCCAGAGGAACGCATAACGAACTACTTAGCGTGATGTACCAAAGAATCGCAACTGGTATATCCTTTCTAGGCCAAAAGTATTTTCAACCTATGAAACTGCGTGTTACCTATGCTGCACGCCGTATGCTGTATATGTATGGCGAGCATCGTGCGCGCATCACTGGGGTTTACGTTACGGGCTAGTCATTGGGGCTGACCCATGCCCAAGACTTTGCACGACATATTGTGTATAAGTGTGCTTCGTGGATATCAAATTGCCTCTTCAAGCAGCAAAATCGAATACAAACCTGTAAAATACATCAACACCGTTGAGTGCGTAAAACAGCCAATCAAAATTGACCAGCCACGGAAGCTGTCCCCTAACCCCACGAGCCCGGGCTCCAACAGCGTCGGATGTCACACGTCCCGGTCGCTCGGCAGGCGCGCGCCGACGTACGCCTGCACGCGGCCTGGGTACGCGAGCACCACCACCGGCTGCGTCGTCCGCCACCGGCGGCGACGACGACCAACGCGGCCGACTGCGGCGCCTCGGCCGAGCTGCGCCACTACGACGAGCAGCTGGAGGAGGGCGAGCCGGGCCCGGCGCCGGCAGACAGCCAGCCACGCGTCGACCGCACCGCCGGGCCGCCGCCGCTCGACGAGAAGCTGCTGTACGCGCGCCTCGACGCCGACGAGAGCCGCGCCCTGGTGGCGGCCGCCGCGGAGCGCGGCTGCTGGTACCCGGTGGAGTTCGCGCTGGCGCACGACCGACTCACGCTCACCGCCGACTGCGTGGTGGCCATGTTCGTGTGCTGCCGGTGCCGCGGCCGCTGCAGCTGCCAGTGGACGCGGCTGGCGCTGGCCGCGCAGCGCCGCGTGCCCGAGCGGCCGGCGCGCAAGCGCGGCTGGGGCTGGCGCAAGATGCGCATGGCCACGCAGCTGATCCGGCTGCTGCACAGCTCGCAGCTGGAGGTCTGATGTTCGCCGGCGTCGCGCTCTCCGCGCCCCGACGCGCGGTAAATCAACGGAACCGAGGACGGGGCGGAGGCTGACAGGCGACGGGCGACACGGCGGCCAGCCGCTGTGAGCCGGCCGGCGGCTCGCCAGAGGGAGAGATGGACCCTGGACACACTCCGCAGGGCGTCTGGCCCAACTGATTTAATGCGCGCACGAAGGGAATGAAGTCTAGAGAACATATGTGCCATTCATACCATAAGTAACTTCCTAACGGACCTGGTCCCATTCCAGCTAAGTCTTCTATGGGTTCTAAGGGCCGTCGACTGCGTGAGATCAATAATGCCATAAAAACCTTTATCTTAAATAAATATAATTCAAACCTTGAAACGTTGATCAACTTAAGTTCCACAGCATGGCTGCACAAACCAGCCTTCAACGCATTCTCACCTACGGACGAGGCTAAAAAAAAAACACTGTTCGAAAGTCCGCAGCCCTGACTGCTCGCAAAGCGGCGTCGCCCGCCCGTGGTGACCTGACCTTAGCGATGGAGATGGTCTGCTGTTCCATGACCTCGTGAATGGCGGTACGGTCGTGGTCGGCCATCTTGTCGAACTCGTCGATGCAGCAGATGCCCTGGTCGGCCAGCACCAGGGCGCCGCCCTCCAGCACCATTTGGTCGGTGAGCGGGTCCTTCATGACGGCCGCCGTGAGTCCGACCCCCGACGAGCCGCGACCCGTCGTGTACTGGCCTGCGGGCAGAGCGGGCGGAGCAGTCAGGCGAGCAGCGCCTCCTGACCATGTGGAGCGGGCGGAGCGGGCAGAGCGGTCAAGCCAGCCGGGCCTCCTGACCGTGTGGAGCGGGCGGAGCGGTCAGGAGAGCCGCGCCACTTCATCAAACGTGCCGCTTTCAGAGCGAACGGAGCCACGTAACCAGACATGTCGAGAGCAGAACAATACGCAGCCAAAGGGCGCTTGTCAGCATACGGTTAAAATAAATCAAAACAACGACAGCACGCACCCGACGTGGGCACGATATAAGCATCGGAAGTTCCGCGGTCGGCACGACCTGCCGGGCGCGAAATGTGTCGAAGTGCTGACACGCGAGCCAAGCCGGCGCGCCGGTGGGGAGGACTCACTGCGGGGAGCCAGACGGTCGATATAGCCGAGCAGCTGCGACTTGGCCACGCCCGGGTCTCCCATCAGGCAGATGTTGATACTGCCGCGGATCTTCATGCCGTTGGGGTTGGTGTCGACGCCGCCGACCAACAGCAGCAGCAGCGCCTTCTTGACGTCTTCCATGCCGAAGATCTCCGGCGCGATCGACTGGGCCAGCTTCTCGTAGAAGTCGTCCTGCGAGACCAGTCGGATCTCGTCCTCGGTCAGCAGGTCACAGTCGGCCTCGTCGTCGTCCGTCTTGTTCATCTGGATCAGCCGCTGCCGGACGGAGTGGGACGGCGTCAAGCGTCGGCTGACGGGCCCCGGTTGACACCGGTGGCGCCGGACGGAGGGGGATGGGGCGCCGGCTGACGGGCCCCGGCCGGCACCGGACGCACGACGCACAGGTCAGTCAGTGGTGACGACCGCCAGAGACAGTGTGCAAGTCATCACCAGTGGTTGCCACCTAGCAGCCATTGGCCCACCATTGCTGACGAAGCCATACGACACAAACGTAATGCAAGGCAGTTAGCGTTCGTGGCACCCTTGACGCGCACGCACTGGTTACTCGAGTAAATCGTGCCGGCAGCTATAATCTTTGTCCCCCCCCCCCTCCTTTGCATCCCTCCCTGACGTTTTCGCCATGCGTTAATACCACTAGCGCAACAGCCATCAATATGTGAAACTACCACCGCTAAACAAATAACACAAACTGTTCTCAGTGACGGAAAAGGCCGCCGATCAGCAGCAGCCCCGGGCACCGCCACCCGACTGGCCTCCGCAGCGGCCCAAGCCGGACACGGGCACGGGCCGGCCGTCAGCCAGCGGCCGGCACTCACGTGCGCGTCCATGTACGTGTCGCTGAGCAGGCCGGCGGTGAGGGCAGCGAAGCCGGCGGCGCGCGCCACGGGCAGGAAGATGCCCGTCACGGCCACGTGGTCGCCGGGCTGCGTCAGCCGCGTCAGCTCGCCGCGGCACACGATCGTCATCGAGCGCGGGATGTTGCCCACCGGCACCTGGTCGCTCTGTCAAACGGGAGGGCACGTCGGTCAGCGGGGTGGGATGTTGCCCACCGGCACCTGGTCGCTCTGTCAAGCGAGGAGGCACGTCGGTCAGCGGGGTGGGATGTTGCCCACCGGCACATGGTCTGCCGAGCGGGGGTCAAGCTGCGGAGTTTTACAACGGGACCCGGCCGTGAGCCGAGACAATGGTCGCTCTAGGCAGACGGGGGCCGAGCAGGCGGGTGAGCGCGTCAATCAGTGGAGCGGGGTCACGGGCGGCGGGCGCGGCGCTTAACGGGTCTTTGCGAAGTGGATAACGGCAGTCAGACCCGAGGTCAACTGCAGGCAGAGGGCGGTAGACACAGCGAAGGGAACGGAGGAGAGACATGCTTACATCTGGTCATTGCCCACCTTACGATGGCGGCCAGACCATTCTAGAGCCGTTCAGAAGCCGACAAATCACAGACCACATGGATCGCCCAAAGCATCAACGGTCCGACCAACAGCCAACGGTCTAGATCCCTTTAGCTAATCGTCATGCAGCGAAACGTGTCAGACCCGTATCCATATCACGTACAAATAAATGTCGCCATCGGCAACACAGTCGTCATTTCCGAGCAACTAAGCGAAAGGTCGCTGCCGTGCGCCGAGCTCGCCACGTCGCGGCACGAACTCACGTGTTCCTGGATCTTGATCTCCTGGAACTTGACGAACTTGGAGCCGCGCGACTGCACGTACAGCCGGCCTCCGGACTTGTTGACGCGGCAGTCCTCGCTGGGACACATCAGCAGCGGCATGAAGGACGGCGAGTTGATCTGCGCCACCAGGAAAAACACAGCGGCGAACGCGTCAGCAAACGGCTCTCCGCCGGCGCGCAGCCGGATGTGATGTAGGATGTGCATGTGACGCAAGATAACACATCTTCCACACTGTGAGGCAAGCCGCCGTAGCATGGCCATCGGCGAGTAGTCTATCGGACGTAAACGTCATTAACTAATCAACGGCATCCTAATCGCGAAAACGGCATCGCATGACCCCAGCGATAATCGCGACATGCATCGGGCACTCACATCATGATGGCAGGCCGAATAACTGGACATGCTCTGGCGTTGGCATCATCACATACGCGGACTGTCTGGGCGCTACGGCCGACGGGCAGCGCGGCTGGACGGCACGGAGCACTCCGTCACTCATACAACACGGCCATCCGAACTACACAGACCCTCGCCGATCACCAGGCAATCAGCAGATAGCCTGTCTGGATGCCGTGCTAGGCGCGTCGCTCAAGTGCCGTCTACAGGGGGCGTGGTTCGCCGACGGGGGGAGGGCGGGGAGGGCGGGGGAGGGGGGGGGGGGGGGGGCTCACCGGCTGGTACGTCTCGGCGCCGCACTGGTCGCACGTGTAGGTGGCCACCTGCAGCATGGGCTTGACCTCGGTGGCCCGCGTCACGATGCCCTGACCTGCACCAGCTTGCCGATGTGCTCGGCCTTGATATCGCGCACGGCCACGTGTTTGGCGGTCGCCGGCAGTCGGAACACCACCTCGCTGCAGACACGGCCGCGCCAGGTCAGGCCATGGCAGGTCATGGGAGGCCCTTCCGGCGGTCAGAGGGTCGACGAGGGGCCGCATCCCGACAAACATATGCTTTTGACCAATCGACACACGTGCTGAGCCGTGCTTAACGCCAGCGGCAGCATTTCAACAAATGCCACTCAAAGCAACGAGGAGAAAGCTCAAAACCTGACCGAACACACCAAGTCACGGTGCGTCGTTTTAGATTCGAGCCAACAACACAGTGTCATGTCTGCCCGTGTCAGGCAGACTGGCCAGCGCGGCTGACCAGCCGGAACACTCACAATCTGCGCATCAGCTCGGAGGGGGTACTTGTTGCGCGGGTCCCGGCTCTCGCCCGGCTGCCGCAGCCGCTCCTCCATCAGCATGCGGTGCTCGATGTAGACGTCCAGCGCGTCGCGGGCCGCCACCTGTCGACGCCCCAGGTGCCGTCACAGCCACAGCCGGGCCCGCAGGCGGCGCGGCGCTGGGTACGGCACGCGAAGGTGGGCTCAAACGGCTGTGGCAGACGGGGCTGGTGTGGACAATCGTGTACAGTATTCACCGAATGGTGTCAACTGGAGCACACGATATCCTCGCTTGTTACCGATTTGAGAGTTAGTGTCAACTGGAGCACACGACATCCTCGCTTGTTGCTGACCTCCTGCGAGCCAAACTCGCTCAAGCTGAAGTTCGATTCTTTGGGTCAACACAACACTGACCTCCCTTGTCTTGTACTCCGGCAGGAGGTCGTACACCACATCGGAGAACAGAAGGGTATAACGGCGGGCATTTCGACCACGGCCTCAGACAGATCCTGGTCGTAGCCCTCTGAAAAGAGCCACCGTCATTTCCTATGTAGCCCTCTCCACCATGCTTACAGTAACAGGACCCAGTTCAATGGACAGGGCCTCCCCAGTCAAAATTATTTGCAACTGTATTCCATAATATGGTCTAACACAACACCCAAATTATGAAACCTCAGAATTTCAGGATTTTGTTTGGGGGTGAGGGTTGGGGATCAAAGGCCTACATTCAGGAATAAACCCTTTGTTCAGTCTCATAAGACCATCAAACTTCTGATAAAACTGACCCAGCCAAGCCCAGACACATCCGGCTCCATCAGAACAAAAAAGAGTCAATCCCCCATGACTCCGCACAAATTCTGTTGATCACGAGGTCAATTCTGATTCTATGCCCAGTCCATCAGCAGCCTGTTAGCCAAATCAATAATACATCATTGCCACTACAAATAGATTGATGACAGCATACCAGTACCCTCGCCAATGGGCACGTGGTTCCAGTTGATGTCACACAGGCCTTCAAGGATTTCCTACATGACAGATCTCTTACCGACATCATCCAGGTCTATGGTGAGCAGAACCTGCTCGCGGTGAGCCAGTGCTGTCAGCTGGCGGGCATACTTGAAATCCTTTTTGCGGCCCTCCTTCACGTGGAACTCGACCAGAAACTGGCGAATTTTGGCTGAAACAGAGCATGGATTACCACATACATACTATAGCAGCACACGTGCGGCAGTACAGTTTGCAGGTGTCATGTGGGGTAGGTGGTTTCATGATCGCTTTGATATAAGAAGTGAACATTTTCTTCTTCTTTGGATCTGTTTAAAAGACCTGTTAATGCCAGATTATGGCAAACCACACTGCAAATTAACCATGTGAATTAAGCATGCCTCATCACATTACCTGCAGAATATTCAATTTCCTCTGCCTATTAAGTATTCCAATTTTGTACCTTTAGTCTGGGACCATCCAAGCAGAACAAAAAGTTTGTGCAGCCTACAACAAATATGTGAGGTCACATTCAACCAAAGGCATGAAGCTTTCACCACAAAGTGAAATGAGCTCAGTGTACAAGTTTCATGACATCAGTTGAAGTACCTACTGTCTGATTCATCCAAATGCAGCCTCAGCATATGATTGATGGAATTAACTGTGAACATATTAGATACTAGAATTAAAGTGACTGATGTCATGTCTTTAGCTTGCCATCTGTCTAACCAAAACACCATTTTCTCAACATGCAAGTATTAGTGAATGTGATAGATCTGTTCATTGAGGCCCATGATGAACAGTGGCATACAAGCTAATGGTGAACATCAATGAAGAAACCAATCTAAACCAACAATGGCAGTAACCATAACCTTAGCTAACCTGTGGCTAGCTTCATCAAATTATAAGAACAATAAGAATGTCTTGGGGCTTCTGGTGGCATCATCAAGAGCAGGCAAACATAGTTCACTGCATGGTATTTCTGGTCTTCTGATGAAATCAGTGATCACAAGCAAAATTTGGGAAGTTTGACTTTTACTTGGCTTAGTGGTATGCAGCTGTCAAATGGCATATGGCAAAGACCTCAATGCAAAGATGCACCACATTTGCTGATAGCCTGCAGTGTTATGAAGCTTTCAGTAAAAAGATACAGCTTACCAATCATTCACTACATAAAATTTTACTTGACAGAAGTGCAAGACTACCACAATCATAGTTAGATGGCACTGGTAGCAATGCATTCATGATGCACCCATATACATGTATGAACAAAATAATGCACATCTAACACCACAAGACTCACACAATATGCTCACAACACATAAGATGCAGACAATAATGATGAAAATACCTTGCAAACTAAACTAGACAACAGTTTTTTCAAAGCAGGCTACTAATGAAATCATATTTCATGCCATAAAAGGATGAATAAATGCATGTCACAAAACAGCAAAACACAAAGCAAACAAAAATATTGTTTTGGAAGCACATGCCAGACTGCATGATCCAAATTACAAACAAAAAAATGCACAACAGCACCAACATCACAATGATGCAAGCATGACTCCTAGCACTGAGAGCTTGGTAAATGGCCAACCACCTATTTCAGAGCAGAGCCCATGGTTCAAGGAATTAAGAAGTCCTAAAAACTCAATAACCCTTTAAGCGAAAACTATGCAACATTCACCTTGTCTAAGTTCGTCGCACGCAAGCACGAGGTTCAGCACAGAAGTCCCATAGACATCCCGCGTCCTTCAGTGGGATACTTTTTGCAGCCTAGCTGCAGACCAGCCGCATCTTAATACCCATGCACGTAAGGAATTGAGGTGTCAATATTCCAAAGTGCCAATATTTACCCAGATTCGATAGAACATGCACTGTAACGATCAATCTACGTTAGTACGCTTACCCTTCTCCTGTTCGTAGTCACGGGTGCGGCCATCCATGATGAATTATAAAGGCGCGAGATCTGCTAGCTGTCGGCCTTAGCCAATTGACACGAGAGTGCTTCCCCACGGAAGTCCACGATATCACAGTCAGCGGACTATCCCCTGTGAAAGGCTGGTACAATGCGAGCGATAAAACCTACTAATGATGAAAATGCCTGCGCGGAGACGGTCACGCCGGCGGCCGAAACCCCTAGATCTCGCACGGCGCGCAAAGTGCGCCACAAACAATGACGGCTCTGGGTATTTGGCGCCAAATATAATAGAGGTGGACAAAGAGAGCCATCGTGTTACTCATTCTGAACAGATTGGCGCATTAAACACGATTTCTCATCATATTTTTTCATTGAACTAACGTGACGGTTTGCTTCTAGAATGGCTTGGCTAATATGGTATGCAATCTACGCTAGTGCTTAAGTTTCACAGAATCACTACAGCTTGAATGCCAAACGCATGGCAAATGCAAGAAAAATAATTTGGGCCAGGGTGTCACAACCTCCCACGCATTTACCCCAAGAAACAGTATTTTGGTGGGACCCACCCCATTAGAAGATACGTTAAACTGCATGCTGCATCCTGCATTCTCTAATTACATATGCAAAAACAGCCCAATTTGGTGGACAATCGACATCTGCAACCTGCCTGATGGGACACGTATGGAGATCGGGCAAGGGGACGAAGCAGGCGTTGCCTCCGACCTCGGCTCTGACCAACCGCAGGCGTGTCAATTTTTAGATTATTGGGGGAGGGCCAAACCAAAGGCCCGACAAACCGCTCCCCATTTTTTCTCGCCGGATTTAGCCCACTTCGTGCTGATGAAAAGCAAGACATGTTTTAGCGTTTGTATAGTTTATAGAGAAGTATTTTAGACAGCATAGTGTTCACGCAGCGGTGGATCAACGCAGCACGCGCTGGACGCACGAGCCTCTCCTGATCAACAAGTGAAGGCGGCTCTTTAGAGGCCGTTTTAAAGCCGCGAGGGTGCTCCTCTATAGCGGTCATGGGAGGTGGCACGCATTTTGGTTGTGGGGGCTGGGGATAGGGCTAGCCATGAAGACCTTTGGGTCATCCACGTATTCCAGAGCTTTTTACTTTGACCTCACAAATTAATGTGTGTCTTATGGCCAAAAGGGTGTGAAGATTATTTGCATCGTTTATCCGCTCAGTTGTTGCAATTCGTATCTGATGGTGAGAGCAGCCACGACTTTTTGTTACAATAGGAGAGAGGGTTCTAGTGTTGATGGGTGCCCTCGCTATATGCGGGAAACGTGCGTCTCTATGGGGAGGCAAACATGCAGCCACATCAACGGATCCACCTACCGGATTTGGGGCGAAGCCATCCGGCCAAATTACACACCTTGTTCTTATTTCCTTTTTGTCTTTGAATTAGATCAAAGCTCCCACCCCATCCTCCTGCAAAATAAAGCTGCTTTATAAAAGTTAATTTTTTGTGACATGCGAGTGGGGCGCGAAATATTTTGGCCTCAATTTGGCCGTACCACATTTGCGAGCCCAACTGTTGCCATGACATCACGAGTTATATTTGCCAATACTTATATGGACTTTGGCCAACAACATACTGCTTTCATGAGATGCCTAAAAATGCGCTGTAAAAACAACGATGGGAATGAGTTTACTCTTCTTGTGGTAAAAAATTCGTGTGCTATTAAGAGGGCTTCCACATGTCTGGTTTTTATAAACGCGCGCTCGGTTCGGGGACCAATTTGGCTCCTCCCCCTTCCGAAGGTTTTCCAAAATAATTTATGGCCGGTGCGGCGTAACCGTTCTAGCGTTGGTGGGTGCACAGCTATATGCGATAATAATACGTTCCTACGGGGAGGCGAATAACCTGCTACATTAACGACGAAGTTTTGGTGCCGCCACGCCGCGCCGAACTTTACACAGCTGTACACAGCTGAGCAGCAGGTCTCAGGGTATGTAAAGTTAGATGGCATGGACCTACGGCAGGCCAACGTCAGGCCCTGACTTTCAGCAGTCAGTTCTTATGGAATCGTTCAAGCCGATGCGACGGCGCGCGGAGGGAATAGGCAGAGCATCCCACCTTTTTTACTTTTCACTAATTACTACATCAGACGCGTGCGATTCAAGCAGTAGTGGGAGTATTCTCCAAATCCTGAATAGCTCAGAATTTTTATTTGAACCAGGCAACCCTGGTATTTGACTCCATACTCACCACTATAAATTAAATAAATTTAAGTTGCCTCGCTTTTCCAACGTTTGTGTTCTGTAATGTTTGCAACACATTAAGTTTTCAACACGTTTGGGTAATAAATGCTATGAAAGACTGAAACACTATTTAGACACAAAGATATGCGAACATAAAGCTATTTTTCGACGAATTCCACGAAATGTTATGCTATGGCTTTCCTTGCTGCTTGGGGCGTTTACCACCGCGGCTCTTTTCGAGGCGCACATTGGCTTTGGGAATGGGAGAATCACATGATCCATGTGACGCACTGGTTCAAACATCAGTCAATGCGCCTCGCGGCAGCAAACCATTGTCCGCTGGGTCAATCACAAATGCTCTTTTATTCACACCAGTAAAGTGGCGCACGGTGGTTACCATGACGACGGTGGTCGCAACTGCAGGGAAGCATAATGCCGTTACAGAGCGATGATAGCGCAATTTGAACTGGAAAATAGTTAAAATTGATATCTTAATTATACCTTAACGGCATTGGAGTGGCACCACTCCATGTCATCATAAGATGTAACTAATCGTGAGGCTTCACTGGAGTATGTTTTTGAAATATGAAATATGTACATATATATATATATATATATATATATATATATATATATATATATATTGTGTGTGTGTGTGTGTGTGTGTATATTGGGTTTTTGGGCTCAGGTTCTTTGGGAAAAAGTCAGTGATGTGGCAGCTAACAGGCTTTGCCTTTCTACGAGCCCGTTGGCTGCAACGCGCAAAATGTTCGCCGAGAATCTATGTTGCCGCGAAGACACACCAATCAATGTTGCCGAAGCCCAACTTTGGTAAAGCTGTGATCAGCTAAAGTTATGCTGACCACATTCATGTTCTGGCGAAACGCTTGGAAGGGGGTTCGCCTTGCAGAACAAGCGTTCGTATAAGGCTCGCCGAAAAGGGCCATCTGGCTGCTGCCTTGACAGCGTCAGCCTGATCACAGGGCGCCGGGAGTCGTGTAACAGCATGGCACGGGAAAGGTCCTTTCACGCCATTTCGATAAAGGCCCGAGGCAGAATGGGTCCGTTAAACCTTTATCACAATAATGGAAGGTTAGTTTGGAGTGCGAGTAATTAACTATTTTCAGCAGGGAATCTTATTTTAAATTTGTCCCAGCAACATTTTTGTTTTCTGTTATGTGTATTGTACATCTATTTCATAGCTGAGACTTTACTTTGAAGCAGCGGTGCCGCACCAAAAATAACATTCTGTTATCCACTTTGAGAGGCAAAATGAGAGAGAGAGAGGGGGGAGAGAGAGAGAAAGAGAGAGAGAGAGAGAGAGAGAGAGAGAGAGAGAGAGAGAGAGAGAGAGAGAGAGAGAGAGAGAGAGAGAGAGAGAGAGAGAGAGAGAGAGAGAGAGAGAGAGAGAGAGAGAGAGAGAGAGAGGGAGAGAGAACATTTCTTTGTTTCGGCCAGAGATCCCCAACACCGAAGAGTCGGCTCCGTGTCGGTCTGAATTCTGGAAGCCCATTTCCCAAGCAGGGACACTGCCGCACCTGCCATTTACACTGGCCCGGGCGCCTGCAACAATGCGGGGCTCCTGTATCGTTCATGGATCCACGGTGCCGCACAGTTATTATGTGCCAACAAGTGGCCTAGAATCGGTCAGATAAAAATGTACTCAACAGTGACGTGGATGGGACCCTGAATGGCAGAGGCCTCTTGCGTCGGTTGGAGTCCTCTGACAATGAAAGAAAACAGGACAGCTTATGAGGATTGTTTACATTGAGACAATGGAAGGATCCTGTGCCAGCCCGGGCCTCCAGTGCCGAACAGTAGGGCCTGCAGCCCAACGCCAGCATGTGCTCGTTAAGCCGAACTGAGGCCTACGCGCCAATAATTGGACCACCTGTGGCGATCAGAAATGTTGCTGCGTTAATGAGGGCTCCTGCGTCAATCCGCGATTAACTGCGCTCTGCGGGGGTCAGAAGGCCTCCAGCGTCAGGGAGGGGACCAATGTGATATGATGCATTCCTTTAAGGGCCTCCGGATCGGCGAGGGGATCCCGTCCCGTGTCGCCCGGATGGCTGCCGGAGGACACGCCGTGCTGGAACGGAATGGCCCTTCAGCCTTTGAGCGGGAACAATTATGTGCCCCCAAGTGTCATATTCAACGGGGCCCATTCACGGAAATAAGAGTGTCATTAGTGCTGACAAGAGTGAGTCGAAATCATTTTTTTTTTTAAAAATAAAGGAGGCAATTCCATGTCTATCTGACAACGTTCACTCTTTTGCAGAACCGGCTAGTAAAACATATTATCGAGGGATTTGAGCCTGCGCGCCCGCAATCTGGGGAGCAGGGGTCTCGACAGCCTAGTTTGCGGTTTCCGTAAAACCGAACGATGTTGGCCACTGCAAGTAACGCCTGGCTGCGGGTGCCGTGCACGCGAGAGCAGCCGGGGCGCGCATGCTCAAAACTACGTCACGTAATTTTGATTTCTAACAAATTCTGACTGAATGTTGAACATTTCCAGACGAATATGCCTCGGCCATGTTAATGCAAATTGTTCATCGATGTTTATCTATAGTCGCGGGGCTCTTATGATCTCTGTACAGCCCAGGTAGGATTTTGACAAAGTTTCTGAGTTCTGTCGGCTTAGAAACAGTCCACTGGATCATTGTAAAACCAAAAGCGCCGGTGATTTATTTCATGCAGATGTTAAACGCATGATTTCTTCAGTTGATGGACTAAAATTGAAACAGAAATGATCCTATTCCAGTGATAAAGGATAGAAATTAAAAAAAAAATGCATTCATTAACAACTGGGCGATGTTCAGTGATTTTTGGTTTGAGACATTTTACTATCAGGGGCTTTTTGTCGACCATTTGCCCCCCCCCCCTTGCCAAGGCACTGGCTGCGCGCTTGCATTACCAACAGTCAGCACAAATATGATAAAAGTAGGGAAATCTCTATGCTTTTCAGGAAATCAAGCCTACGGCCCCAACGATTCTAACACTTTTGATTATGGTCAAAGTGACAAAGAATAGGCTGCCACAGGTAAACATTGGACCCCCCCCCCCCTCCCCCCTCTCCCTTGCCACTACCTCCACTCCGACACCTGCCTGCTTGCATTGCCATAGATTTTGAGCAGTTTTAAGTTACAATTCATCCTGTTTTTTATCGGCACATCCGCCGACAGGTGTCGGATGTCCTGTCTCCATGATGCTACCCTTTACTACTGAATCCCCTTTGTGCAGATGTGTGGGGATCGACATCGATGAAAAACCTCGCGTAGTTTTGCGCCATCGGTCTAGCGTATGTTCCAACAAGGTCGAGGTAAACTTAGCGTGTTTAAGTAAATCCAATAATCTTCTCTTCAGTTGCTTGCCTCCTAGACTGAAGAACAGGTCATTGTTGAATATGTTCCGGTTCCATTCACTGGTTCAGAATGATTCTGGAATTGAGCCGACCGCAGGCAGGCCTCAGTCCAGTATTTACCTACTGATGTTTGTGCCTGCGCAGGCCTGCTGCTTTGTAGGACACAAGATGTGCGTGCGCAATTTGCAGGTAGTTGTACTTGTGACGGAGGAGCAGATCACCATAACATCTATGAACGCGGCTCGTGATTCAAGAAGTTGTATTGTGATGATATATAATATTAAATTGAAAATGTGCGACACAGATAAACCTCATGCAACACCGCATAACCTCGGAAACAACTAACAAGATACCCGTTGATCACAGGGAGGAAGGACTAGCGGCTTCAAATAATCGATTCCACCGTGCAAATATAAACTGAGATAGCTGCGCAGGAATATGACAGACGGCCTCATTGTGAAGACTGATACAATTCACCTCGTGAGCCACAGCCGGGGAGAACTCCGCCAAACAGCGGCTACCGCCAAAACGATGCAAAGGAAAGCGACACAACAAACACTGCACTGAAAGGTCCGGCACGCGGTGCAGTGCATCATAATGCAAAGGCAAACGAGTCGATTGTGTTGTAGATCAGAACACGCTACACACGTTCGGTACGTCGCTTTCAGAAAGACACCTCATATTTGCACAGCTTGGCACAACCAGCAGACCAAGAGATATGGATAGGTTTTTGAGGACAAATGACCTTGGCTTCCAAGGGTTGCTGAATGCATTCATGGAGAGACGGGACGCAAATAAATAGGTCAAAACCGTGCCTAACTATATTAAAACTTGAAACTAGACTATGTCATGTAAAACTATGTCTACACTTTTGCTACTGCCGAGGCAAGAAGCTGAAAACGTATGCGGCGAGAAGCATGAAGTGCAGGCCCTCGTCAGGATATGCCGATGTCGTGCGCGGTGGGAGAGTGAACGGGCCGATGGGACCGAGCGACACACACCGACGGACCGACGTCGGCGTTGGGGTCTCCTCTGCCCCTCTCTCTCCCAAGACCGTGCTAACAACACCGGGGAGGGGCACGACACTGCGCCACAGAGCCCATCGGCGGTAACGACCAATACGCCCAGAGCGAGAGCACCCTAATGTATCACTGGGGACAGCACGCGTCCCTCAGGGCAGCATCGTGTGTGCAGCACTATTGCTGATGGATGCACCACGAGTGCTCCTCACGAAACGGCAAAAAGCATTGAGCGCCAACACGCTACGACGCAAGCGATGTGTGATGTGAGAATAAGGCGGGGCTTGTACGGGCCTAAATCGCGCACGTAAACATCAGACGGGGACCACCGACTGCGCGGTCTCACCGAAATACGCGCAGTTTAAATCATCCGACGCCACAATTGAGCCACAACCAGACCGCAGCTGCTCAGTACTGATACCCGACTAAGCCACTTGGACGTCCGGCCACTGGTACCGGCGACTGTGGCGATCCTCTGGGCGTGTAGGGAAGTGTTCTGGGCGTCGACAACACGAGCCTAGCCTGCGCTGTGGCACAGACCCCGGCATCGCCAGCCAAGCAGCGATCGGGCCGGGCTAACGTCAGTGATCCAAACACGGTGTGGTTGCGGAGAGCCTACTGATGCAGTTGCGCTGAATGGTTGCCGCTTGCGGCATGCCAGTTCTCACAGCAGCGACGGACGCCTGGCGCGGCCGGACCGCGGCTCGCCGGTCCGGGGCGGCCTGTCCGTCGGACGCGCAGCCGCCACCGCCGCCGCCGCCGCCGCGCCCGGCCCACCGACAGCCGCCGTGCCCGGCCCACCGACAGCCGCCGCGCCCGGCCCACCGACAGCCGGCTTGGACGGTCTCGCGATGGCGTCGCGACACGCGGACGTCTGGGGTCGAGAGAGCGGCGGATGCACGGCATCGGGCTCGCATTGGCGCGGCCCTCAGCACGGCCGGACGTCAGCCACGTCGGCCACGTCAGCTACGTCAGCCTCGTCAGCCACGCCAGTCGCGTCAGCAGTCCCGATCGCCGAACGTCAGCCAGGCCTTCGGCACCGTCTTCACTCTGTCGCCGGATGGCCTGTCCGTCTGGTGCGACCACGCCTGCCAAAATGCAACGTCGTTACGGCAAATTGTGGCAATCTGACATTGATTAGATCTGATAGATTGCTGAAGTCATTGTTTGCTTGACCTTGTCGGCGGCACCTCTGTCCGAGGACACAGTCAGGTTCCATCAGCTACCTAGAGCGCTTAATGCAGCTGTAAAACAAGTAGACATTGCTGATTATCTGACGCACCTCACTATTTAATATTGCATACCTATGGACAATCTGACTGGTCATTAACCACAGCTTGGTTTTGGAAATACAAACCATAAAATGAAGCTGACACGCTATCACCACTAGAGAGATGTTTAAACCTGCCCAAACAGGTCGCCTTTGAACATTTCTCTTTCTCTTTAATCTTACTGCTTCAGGCGTTTTCCCCAACGGTGATGCAATATGCATGGCTCAGACGTAGCTGAATATCACAAGATTGAGAAGATTGTGCCTGTCAGAACGTTTCCCGTTGCGTGACAAGGGACGACAGGCCAGCCACGTCTGAGGCCGCCCAGTCTCGTTGTCATGCATTGATCCCCTGTTGACGGCGCCCAATCGTAACGTCCAATTCGGCCACTTGAAATAGATCGTTCTCGCAGCATTGGCGGCGACTGCGGACCGTCCTGCCACGCCCGTGGGGAGCAGACGCGGAGTCTGGCAGCTAATGCAATGGTGATGCTCTTCATTCATGTTGTATGATCCCAAAGCGTGCAGGGGTTGTCTGGCCAGACACGTACTGAGCACTCGGCAGGTAAATGCTTAGAGACGACCAACCTGGCAATGGGAGCGTCACGACATTAGTGTCGCGGCAAAAACTCTTATCGGCAGGAATGCAACGACTTTAGTTAAACGCGTCATCTCTTCTACTGCAAAAAGTCATACAGACTTTACTTGTGGCGCCGATAACCAATGCAGCTCATTCGCCCGTAAAATCCAACAGCTAGCTAGCTGATTAACTAGGCCTTAATTATACGCGACATTACTTTTGCTGCGAAAACGTATGCACCTCATCCGGGCTAAACGACAAGACTTACTTTTGAGAAGCTCACAACCGTCATCTCTGCTACTGCAAAACTAATGCATTCATTTCTAATACGCGGCTTAATTCCTACTTCAAAACTCATAGTCAACATGAGCGCTACACGAACTACACACTAATTCACCAATGTCGTGTGTGTGTATTGGGCTCGGCAGTAGAAATAGTGTCGTAGCACTGATGTTGGTGGGAGTTTTTGCTGCAGGATCTGTAAAAAAAACAGCCCGAGCTAATGTAAACAATCCAATTTCTATGCGGATTTCAGTCGATGCATTTTGAGATCAATTTCTAACACAGATACATCTTGAATTCAGCATTATCATCCACCTCCCAAGAGGTCAAAAGTCATGGGCCTGGATTGCATAACTAGCCTGTCACCTAAAATATTGAGGTGATGATGTCCGCTATTGCTGAATCCCAGTATTTTCACGCCGCACTGTACTGCGTGAAACGAACATTTCACACCCAGTGCCAGTCCTATTCACTAAAACTTGGAGGAAGCCTCCACTGAACGGAGGAGTCACGTTCCATGTGGCGAGCTTAAGGTGCACGCAACGAACTGCTTAATGCATGTGCAGCGCGAAGTCGTCAGGTCAGGAACTCGGATACAATAAGAAGTTTCCAAAATACCACGCCCGATTTGGCACAACCCACCCATAAAGCAAACTACGGTGATGGCGCACTGCACTAATGCTGTCGCTCTAGTGACGTCATATTGATGCGCCGAGATCTATTTGTCCCGTCGGCAGTGATTTCGCACACGACACCACGTGGTGTCACCCAGGGCTCCGTCCGATCTGTCGGCGGTGACCATTAGCTTCATGTAACATGACGTCACTCAGGGTGACCTCCGATCCGTTTGTGGTGATCCGTACGCGACGTGATGTCACTCGTAGCACCGTCCAATCAAATGGGATTGATTCCGTGCATGACGTGACGTCACTCGGTGCTCCGTCCAATCCGCTAGCTGCAGTTCCGCGCACGACGCAATCTTCAAGGAGAGCGCTATTCGATCCGTCAGCGGTTACCCGATCAGTCAGCCCCAAACGGACATGACGTCACTCGGAGCGTATTCCAACCTATAAGCAGTGATCCCCGCGGACGCCATGACGTCATGCCGGAGTAACGATCGAGGCTCGGTCCTCGTTGTATCATTACCTTGGATTCTCGGTAAACACGGCGACGGACGGCGATTAGCGAGCGTACACAGAAACACTTGCGGGCGGCCGGGCAAGGCTTCGGGCCGCTCCGAGGACAATGGCGGTGCCAAACATGACTGACGCTGCCAAGGAGTGGCGTGCACTCGCCGCAAGTTGATGTATTGGAGCGCACACGTTGGTAGATATGTACGCGTAATTGATTGTTCAAGAGACACACCTTTGGGGGAATAGAGGCAAACGGAAGCAGAGTCCTTTGAGACTTAATTCACGAGGTACACAATACCGTGTGTGGTTTACGCAACGGCAAACCGCCAACCCATGGAAATGTGTGTATATAGCATAACCATTGTTATCGCTACATCCGCGGAAAGTTTGCAGTTAACTTATTCCATAGAATGCCGCTACACAGCACTTCTGAGAGCCACCACTGCGTGTAATCGCACGCTCCTTAAATGTTCCGTTTTTTACCAAAGGCGGGTTAGGTTAGCCTGAAAAGGCAGTGCAACGAGATGTGAGACTTCAGCAATTCACAGTAACAGCAGCCGAACTGCTGCGTTGAGGACGTTTGCAGTTCTATCAAACGGGAAGGAGGGGGACGGGATCTCTTCGGAGGCACGACGATGAATGCGGCGGCAGCAAAATTGGAAAATGAAATAACTCAGCTAGTGTTGCTATAGGCTTGAGCTCAGCCATCCAAAAGAAAATGGGGGCGTTAATATGCAGCAACGCGCAGCCATTTGGAGAAAACGACTCAGAGAAAGCTGCACGGTGCGTGCGTGTTGCATGCGCAGCGTATCTCACGAACGGAGCGCAACTGGTGTCAAATGTCCGTTACCGCCACCTGCTGTGTGAAAGCTCAAACACCGCTGCAAAACACCCTTGCAGGCTCAAGGAATGTGTTCAATATTTTCAAAAACCGACAAAATCGAAAAATGCAGATGTCTGGCAATACTCGTTATCCTTGGGGCATTTCTTTCTTCGACATTCTCAACTGCCGAGGCCACACGGCGTCGCCTGCCTCCCACCCTGGCAGGAAGGGGCGGGCACCGCGGGATACGGGCCCCGTACCTCTGGTTTCCCAGACACGCAGTAGAAGTTACTACACTAGCAGCACCCTCACCCTCCTGGTCATATTCAGTGGGTACCCTAGGCCATAAGCCAGCAACGGCCGGACAAATGGGTCTTAACGAACGTTTATCAAGCTGGTTCGGGCAAAATTAAACTTGTTTCGCATAAAGTTATGAGCGGGCCGTAATAACAGCTGAGTGAAAAGAGCGGCAACTGGGGAAGGCGAACTAAATACCCGCTGAATGCGTTCGGATTTAACATCTGTCACAACGTTACACATTTGAAATGACAACAGCGATAGGAAAAAACAGGCCCACGAAACAGGCATTGTACAATTCACAAAACAACCAAAGGATTAGGACTCAGCAAGTCATCTTAGTCCCACATCTATGCTTCGCGGGTCAGGTCGCCTCGGTAGCGAACCACGACCCCCTCCCCCTCCCCCGTACCACAGGTCACGCAGACCCGACCTTGCGTTATGACGAGACGGCCGGCAGGACGGCGGAGACGCCCGGCTCGGCTGCGGCGCCGCTCATGTGGCTGCCGCACAGGCAGACGGCGCCGCGGGACGGCGACTGCAGCGCCATCGTGCTGTACAGACAGGTGGGGTCCGGACAGCGGAGAGCGCCCAGACCCCGCCGGCCGCCGCCGGACGCCGGCGCCGACTGGGGCGAGGAGCCAAGCGCCCGGCACGGCGCCGACGGCACTGGTCGGGAGCGGCGCCGGATCGGGACCGGGGGCGGGAGCCGGCGCCGGCCGCAGCGGGGGAGGCTAGGCCGGGCAGCAGTGCCGGGTCCGGACTTGGGTCCGGAGGAGGGGTGACAGGCAGGCTGTCGGAGATGACCGAGCGGCGAAGAAGCTGTTCGGCCTCGGGGTCGGCACGCGCCGACCGACTCCGGCCGGGTCGGCTCACGTCTGCACCACCGCCAGTGGGCCGGCTCTCCTGTGACTCACGAGCAGGCGAGGAGACACGGCCACCTCCGCCTGAAACAGCACCACGGCACGTCAGATGGAGACACGGTCACCTCCGCCAGAAGCAGGACAAAGACACGTCAGATGGAGACACGGTCACCTCCGCCAGAAGCAGCACAAAGACACGTCAGATGGAGACACGATCACCTCCGCCAGAAGCAGCACAAAGACACGTCAGATGGAGACACGGTCATCTCCGTCAGAAGCAGCACAAAGACACGTCAGATGGAGACACGGTCATCTCCGCCAGAGGCGGGACAACGGCACGTCAGATGGAGACACGGTCATCTCCGCCAGAGGCAGGACAACGGCACGTCGGATGGAGGCACGGTCATCTCCGCCAGAGGCAGGACAACGGCACGTCAGATGAAGACACGGCCACCTCCACTCTAGACAGGTAAGCTGCACGTAAGCGTGCTGCTGCGAAACAGTTTCCGGGTATTGGTATCGTAGTTTGTAACTTACAGGCACCATTCACCTTCCTCGAGGAATGCGGACGCACAGACCCACAGCTTCAACACGCACAATGACACTCCTCCGAGCCGCCAAAAAATACAGCGACCTTCGACTCCAGCCTTCCGCAAAGTATGAGCATCATAATTAGCCCTGTTCCTCGGGCCCTTTTCTGTATCGAACAAAACCAGCCTCGCACGATTGACAAGCTCGTTCTTCCTTCTTTCCAACTGAATGACAAAGCTATGTGTGCATGCTACACAGATTGTGTAGCATGCTACATAAATCGGTATAGTTGTACAGCAGCTGTATAGATTGCTTCGAACTGTAGCAACTCACCCGGTGATCATTGGCGGGCGGGCGTTTGAAGTGCCGCTCATCTACAAAGGTGAACACCAAGGAAGCTGCCGCATGCTCAGCGGTCTGAATAATTAGAAAACTTCCTACTTCCGACTGCTTTCTTCAAAATCAATCTAGTAGGCACTCCCGCTTTTGTTAAAGCCTGAAAATAATTTGAGGAGGTATTTGAGTGACTCCCTCATCAATAATGATCGTTGAAGTCCAAAAACTTTCGAAATAAAATAACTCACAGGATCGGAGGCCTCGAAAGTACGTAAGTTGAGCGATACCAATGTCGTAAGTAAGTGATGGAGAGCAGATAGTCCGCGACCAAATGCCTTTAAACTACGAATCAAATACTTGATACTGAAACATTGCCGCTACGGGTGTTTTATATCCAGGGTAGCATGTGCCCACACCAGATATGACCCAACTATACACACCCCTTAATTATCATCAGGGACAGAGTTTTTATATCCGCCACCACAATGAATATCTTACTAAAAATGCTGCATGTGACAGGGCGAAATATATACACAAAGTCTAGGGTTCACACCATTGATAAACTGCAGCCAATAAATGGCGAATTGGAGCCTGGAGCGATACATTTTGACAGGCTGCAGTGTGACATGAATGCGAATGGTGTGCAAAGGCCACGAACAGCCATTCACTGCACACTGATTGCAGTCAACCCAGACATTGTCGTGTCTGGACAACGGCAGCCACTGGCAGTATCAGGCCGGGCCGGCCCGCCGGTGGTCCGGCCGCCCGTGGTCCGGCCGCCGGTGGTCCGACAGCCACCGGCAGCGGCGGGACGGGCCGGCCCGCCATGGGTCCGGCCGCCCGTGGTCCGGCCGCCGGTGGTCCGGCTGCCCGTGGTCCGGCTGCCGGTGGTCTGACGGCCACCGCCAGCAGCGGGACGGGCCGGCCCGCCATGGGTCCGGCCGCCCGTGGTCCGGCCGCCGGTGGTCCGGCTGCCCGTGGTCCGGCCGCCGGTGGTCTGACGGCCACCGCCAGCAGCGGGACGGGCCGGCCCGCCATGGGTCCGGCCGCCCGTGGTCCTGCGGCCACCGGCAGCCGCCATTTGTCCGCGATAACCATGTGGCTCCACTGGTCACGCTAATGGAGCGCGATCCTGACCGACATCGCCAGGCCCGAACACAGGCCCAACACGCGCCCACGCTGGCGGCGCCGGCGGCAGGGGCTCTTCAAGGATCAATTTTTCAGGACTCAGTGCCATACAACCCCCCAGTCTAGCGCTTTGACAGCGAAGTGAAAATCCAATCGGGCCCGATGCGTCACGGCAGATCCATACACCAGCCCTACCCAGCGTCGACGGTTACGGGCACCGGGACGGGTGCGTTCGTCCACCCGACTAGCACGAGGGCGTCAGCTGGCACCTGGCCAAAGCGGTGGCCCTGCCTCGGTTAGACCCCGCTGTGACACTGTACGGGTTGTAAAAAATCCGTGATCAAGCCGTCCAATGGTAGCTTGCAGACAGCATGCACGCTCCCGTGACCTGGGTCGGGCCACCTCGGGTGGTGGGTGCAGGGTGCAAGACAGCACGTACGCCCCCCGTGACCTGGGTCGGGCCACCTCGGGTGGTGGGTACAGGGTGCAAGACAGCACGTACGCCCCCGTGACCTGGACCAGGCCACCTCGGGTGGTGGGTGCAGGGTGCAAGACAGCATGCACGCTCCCGTGACCTGGATCGGGCCACCTCGGGTGTTGGGTGCAGGGTGCACGCAACAAACTCCGCTAAGCAGATGCTTTGAGCTCTCCCAAAGCACCCGTGTGAACCAACGTGCAGTATTAAGTATTCCATGAGAATGGGGCCTTCATTCCAGAGCCTTTCAGCCATACAAATCATTGAAAATTAATCATTAACCGGCAGGGTCATTGGAAATAACTAAGCAAAATGTAGTTGCAGTTGAGTTTGTAGTTGGGTTTATTACATTTCAGCCCAATGTCACGCGACGTGGAAAACGCGAAACGTGCCGGTGCGTTTGGGACTTCTGAAAGACAATTATTTACCCTACAATCCCTTACCATCCGTTTGTCCCGAACAACTGCTGCTGAATCAAATTTAATCCCAGCACGTGCCACGTACAGCTTTGCGCACTGCGTTCAGCATCATTCATTGATTAATGCTAAATGCATGTATCTATTCAGCCGGTGAAGAATCCTGGCAGTCAGTAACGTCAGTAGAGTGCTCCATTTTAAGATGGGGCTTCATTTTGTCCGTCCTCGAGAAGGTCAGCTGCTACCCTCACGGACCGGGTCCGTGATGCCTTAAGCTGTCGCAGCGGCACGTACATCGAGTCAAGCCGGAAAGGAAATTTTCTCGAGGCTATCGATCTGACGGAGAACTGCAATGAAATTCATTGCGTCTGGGAAGGCTAAAATCTATGACGAGCCGTCCCGCGAAAATACGTCATTTACGAAACCAAACTATCGACTCCAAATACCAAGGTTTTAAAATGCCGCCAGGGCACAGCCTATCAGGTGGGCGATGAGAACTGACGCCCAACAAGGCTGGCGGCGTGGCAGCTAGTCCGGTGATGACGTCAGACGGTCGACGGCGGCCAAGGGATGGAGCCCTCGCCCACAGTGGGTGCCGATACAGCCCGCGGCTTTGTTTTGAAATGCCTCCCCAACTGTTTGCTGCATCTTAGTGGTATTTAAACCGACTGAGACACACACATCTACGTTTCTGGCCTCGCGGTTGTGGTGTGCTGGTGTCTCAGGCCACTCAATTATTTTCCCGTTCGGAAAGGTCTGCACGACGAAGCTATGTTGAAAATGAAAGTTATATCTACAAGGTACCGTCTGCCAAAATAACCCGCATGCAAGCAGTATTTCTGCAGTTTTGCTCTAAGAATCTGTAACGAAGCGGAAGTGGTAGTGTACCAACACCCCAGTTCTCTGTCCGATCAAAAATGGCAAAACACCCAGTGTCGGCGAGGGCCAACCACCGGTACAGCGCTGCACTGGAGCCTTTCCACCACACCCCCTGCACCACCGCACGGGGGCGTGTAGCATGTGCCGCTCCAAACCACCCAACCCCCCGCCGGGCCCCCCACCGCCTGCAGACAACCCGGTGGCCTTGGGGTGGGCCGTCCCGCCGCCACACCCTATCAACGCGGCTCCGCGGCCTAGCAGTGCTCGGGAGCTTACTGGTGCTGCCGACGGGCTCACCGGCCGCCGAGAGCGGCATTGGCACAGCCTGGCAGGGCTTACCGGCGGCCGGCGGCGGAGGCCCATGGCCACCGGCCCCCGTCTACCGACCTGCGACGACAAGGCGGCGCGCATGGGCCCACGGCTTACCGGAGCGGGAGCGGAGCGCGGCGAGGCGGAGGCGGCTTACGGCCGAGGAGTAGGTCGCGGGCGGCGGGCAGGCCGGACGGCCAGCGGCGTCGGTGGCCCGACGTCGGCGGCTGGCGGCGGCGGCGGCGGGCTCGCTTCGCGTCGGCTCCGGCTGCGGGCAGAGGCAGGGGGCTGCCGTGACCGTCGGTGGGAGTCGATACGGGCTCGACGCCGCCGCCGCCGCCGCCGCCGCCGGCCGCGCGGCGCTGCATTATTGATGCTGCGCCGCGCCCGGTCGGACCCGGCACGTCACCACGCCTAGCCAGGGCTAGCCCAGTGTTAGCCCCCTGCCCCTGTCGACACAGCCGGCCCGCAGCTAGCGACACGTCACCCTCCCAGTGATGCCATTGTCATACCCAGTCCTTCATCAATACGACCGGTTACACCTAGTCTTTCCTGCCGACGCGACAGGTCACAGCACCCGGTCACACCCGTCAATACGACCTCTCACATCCAGTCGCTCGTATCGATATAGCCGATCGCACCCAACCTTTCCTGTTGATACGACCGGTCAGGCCCAGTCCCACCCCTGCTGATGCCACCGGTCACACCCATTCCATCCTGTCAATAGGCCTGAAGCACAGCCCCAGGCGATGCAGCGAGGGCCTCAGGCTGGCTCGGCGGCCCCTGGCTCGACATGTGACACTCACGTCACGGGTCAAGATACGCGCCGAGCGATACGCATTCGATACGCAGCAGAGCCCCCGCTGCTAATTCTGATCAGGAATGACCGTCTCGAGAAAACGTGATGAAGGCTTCAGCATCGCGCGACCAGTAGAGCCAAAGCTCTCACAACAGGAATAATAACAAAAGCTATGTGAACGGGGCTTACGGAATGCCAACTGCAGTGGCTCTTTGCGCTAGAAAGAAAAGACCAGACGAAACTAGGCGCATGTCGCTACCAGCATCAGGACAATGCTAGTGTCAACAAGACCACCCGCATCCCCCAGAAACCGATTTACTGCGTCAACGGGAGGCAGTCAACTTGTTACGACCAGAGCAACAATCGCAAGCTTGTGTTATAGTTCCGTTTGCCGTTCTCTTACCGACTACCGTCAAAGGCCCCTCATGGATGTTCTCATACCATGACACACTACGAAAAGCAGCCCATCAAGAAAGGTATCTGAAAATACCCGAGCGTCCTCGCAAGGAGCATACTGCAAGAGCTTCTGAGCGAAATATGGTGCGTCTTATTGTTCGATGTGAAAGAGCCTCCCATAAAGGTGAAATATCGTGGTACATAATACTATATGTGTGCGAGACGGAAGCCCGCTGGGGCTTAGTTGGTCATATGCGCTTCAGTAGCCCACTGCAATGGGTGCGGGGATAGGGACCGGTTGGTGGGCGACTGCGCGAGGCGCAGGAGCGCTTGCCAATCGATACTGGTCTCCAGGTAAGGTCCGCTCCTTCATCGCTCCCGACCGTTGTCTCTCCCCAGGTGACAGTCGCCCGCCGTCTGTCTGGTCTGTGTACCTCTCCAGGCAGGGCCGGTCCTGTGGCTGTCCGGCCCGTACCCTCTCCAGGCAGGGGCCGGTCCTGTGGCTGTCCGGCCTGGACCCCCTCCAGGCAGGGCCGGTCCTGTGGCTGTCCGGCCTGTACCCTCTCCAGGCAGGGCCGGGTCCTGTGGCTGTCCGGCCTGTACCCTCTCCAGGCAGGGCCGGTCCTGTGGCTGTCCGGCCCGGACCCCCTCCATACAGCGTCAGTCTCCTGGCCTGTACCCTCTCCATGCGAGGCCAAGCCCCTGGCTACTCAGCCTGTACCCTCTCCATGCAGGGTCAGTCTCCCCGGCTGTCGGCCGTGGCCCCCTCTCCAGACAGGGGTCGGCTGCAGCGCCAGCGGCCAGGCTGTCACGGTCGAGGGGCACGCTTGTCCGGACCGGTCGATGTCTGTCCGGGACGGTCGATGTCTGTCCGGACCGGTCGATGTCTGTCCGGAACCGGTTGATGTCTGTCCGGACCGGTCGATGTCTGTCCGGACCGGTCGATGTCTGTCCGGACCGGTCGATGTCTGTCCAGACCGGTCGATGTCTGTCCGGACCGGTTGATGTCTGTCCGGGTCGGCTGCGGTGCCAGTGGCCGGCTGTTACGGTCGAGGGGCACACTGTCCGGACCGGTCGATGTCTGTCCGGACCGGCCGTGACGCCGCGCGGGTAAGTGCCTTGGCGGGGCTGACCCTGTTCGTTGGCGAACGCTGCTGTCGCTCTGTTGTCGCTGGCCTATCCATAACTGTGCCAATGAATACCAATGATGGCATCGACCTTCTCACGAGGACCGCCGGAAAGGCATTTGCTTTGCCGGCTGGGTCAAACACTGACGATGTTTTTATTGAGCTGTTGTGCTGACCTAGTGTAAGCTGCTTGGGGGTTATGGCGTTCCTAATTTCGCCCGTATGCGTAATGCATGAAGCCCAAAATGGCGGAGCTGGCGATCATGTGCACGGAACAAACGTCATCAGCGCTGGGTGCGCTTTCCTGCCGTGGTCTCAGGTTCTCGCCAACCAGGGATGGTTTGTAAATTCAGTGACACTGTAAATGATAACGTACTTGAATGATACGCGCAATCTCATTACAAACACAACCAATTGCAATTGCGAACGCGGTTTCCGCGTGGAAAGCGCCATTGAGAGTGTGGTGCATGTAATGTATTGGCTCCGCTACACTCTGCCCTCGCCTTCTTCCCAACAGCACCGTCGCGCCTTGTTCGGTGGCTACAATCTGCTGATCCACCGATACGGTGGTTTAATATATAATGCAAACCAAAATATTTCCGTCTGGGAAAGGGACATTAAAAAAGTTCGCGCATAAACGATGAGTCGAATGTTCGCAGCAGCTTCATACAGCTGTAGTGCTCGCTTTCAGATGGGCTGTTCAGAAAGTTGCAACTTTCATTATCTCCTCACATATAATGTGTATAATGTCTGATGAGATGCTTTTTAAATGACGCAGCTGAAATTGAGGTTGCGTAGATCAATGTCGGCCAAGTTCTTCAGTGTTTTCACTCTTCTCATTTAATCTAATTCATGCTTTTTTCTAAGCTACCATTGGTCTGTTAACAGCGGATGCAAACAACGAATAAGGTTTGCAAAAGGTATAGGAATTATCAATGGCAGTGAGAACATAACCCGTTTTCACGAAGAGTTACGGTGCAAAACTCAAAAGCTTTTGAAAGAAATTCAGCATTTTTTTCTAGCCACACACTTTTTTAATAGCGATTTTTGCAAGAATTGTTTTGCAGAGATTTAACATATTTGATAAGACGTACAGCTTGATCAAATTGCGGTTTGCTAGCTTTAAGTAAGGTTATGCTTCTATAGACAGGGAGGATGCCAGACCTCTTTCTCCCGAAACTTAACAAAACCTATAAAAAAACATTCGGCAACATTTTTGGCACGGAAGCGACAAAATAAACACTTTTACATTATAGCGTCCGAGTTCATAGGCATGCAGTACATACAAAGCTTACTCACAGCACTTACAGAGCTTGTTTACAGTATTAACAGGGCTTACAGGGCTTAAATTCCTTAACATGATCTAAGATGAATGTTCTTTGAATAAAGTGATCCTCCAAGCGCGTATCGCTCCACATAGCACTGACGAGAATAATCATAATGCAGCATCCAACGCCCTCGACCCGATTAACGTTGCTGATTGCCAGGCCTAGTATTTTTCTAGATTAAGGGTGAACTAGAGGCATGGACTGGAAATGTCTATAAAGGGTCTCATCTGATACACCAAACTTGTTTTTCGTTATGTACACGGGGTTTACCTACCGCATGTTAATGGAATTCATGAAAACAATCTCTGTCATGTCAGAGTGTTAAGTATGTACTAAAATTTCATGGAAATATTTTAATGACTTCAAAAACTTTTCATTATATCAATCCATTGTGAAAAGGTTATTGCGTCATTCCCGGCGTAACTGCCAAAAATGTGTAAACATGCATTGATAAGATGCAGACGGGATGAATAACCGGCATTCAAACTGCCAAAGTTATCATCAACCGAAAATAAATGTTCTTTGTTTGTGCTAAAAGGATTCGACTATAAATCATGGCAACATACGGAGCTGTTATTTTAATGATCGGATCGAGGCCGTACGGTTCAGCTTTAACAGTCGTTGTTGGTCAGGGATCTGGGCGAGTTCAAGATAATTAATAAAATCAGCGCATCTGCTGCAAATAGTTGACGACCCATGTGCGTTCAGGAATCAATAATTAGGGCCTTTGCAGAGAAAATGGATTCCTGGCCAAGCGTGCTCTGCTTTGCTTGGCAGACATGTGCTCGGCCCCAACACGTCCGCGAAGCTAGCCTGTCAGTGGCCTAGCGACCGGTGACGTCACTTCCGACCCCAGCTGACCGTAAAACGGGCCATCTCGGCGACGCCACGCCACCCTGTTTGCCGGGTCCCCCCCCCCCCCCCCCCCACCAGATCTGGCAGATCTGCGCCGCCGCCTATCTCTCGGAGTCGGCCAGCCTGACTGCCGGATTCCTGGCTTCCGGAGTAACCAGGCCTCACTGCCGACTTTCCTGGCTTCCGGAGTCGGCCAGGCCTGACTGTGGGCTCCGTGTCGGCTGCCGGCCGGCTGCGGGGTCGGCTCTGGGCCCTGTCTCACCTCGTGGGGCCCGGCACGGCGAGAGGCCGCCGAGTCCCGGCCGTTCGCCGGGCCGGGCGTCGCGCCGTCCGCTGTCCGCTCAGGCTGTCCGCTGTCGGCTGTGCGCTCGGGCGGCGCGCCGGCCGTCAGGTCGCCCTCGGACGGGAACGGGTGCGTCCGACAGGTAGAGAAGGTGTCACTGCTCGCCAGACTGAGCAGGTCCGGGTGAGGCTCGGCGGGGGCGTCGGACGCTGGCGGCTGAGTCTTGGGCATGGTCTGCAGCTCGATGCCGGAGGACCAGGGTTGGCTGGGGTCGGACGGGGGCGTCGGCTCGCCCCCCGGCTTCAAAATATCCTGCCAGGCGGGCAGCATGTTGATTATAGTGGTGGGGTCATAGCGCAGCGTCTTACATCAAAAGGCTCGGATCGCTTGCCGTCTGTCATAAATCTAAGGCGAAGCCGGTGTCAAAGGTTGTGGCATTAACGAACTCGTTCAGTTTAAAACGCTCACAGATATCGAGCATATTTTCATACCCTATATCTCAGTAAACAAAATGCATGTCCGCTCGTGGAAATTCATGAATATTTATCGTTAATTTTAAACCTATTATCTGCCAGTTGGGTAAACCACACCACACCATATATAGCCTTTGATAATGCGTTTTGGCTGCCGGACCGAACTTTGAGCGGGTGACACTATTTCTCACCCTGCGTTGAGTTATACCCAGCCATTCATGTGAAGACGGCATTAGAAAGGCCACCCGCCGCACATCCACAAATGTATGCAAGCAACAGGTGGCACTTCTCAGCAGTACGCGACAGCTGGCACTGCTCGCAATCAGAGTTGTACGTGCATGCGTTCTTCTCCTCCATCCACACAAACTAGCAAAGTCAAATTTTATCAAAGAGTTCTCAAAACATTGGCATTTCTCCAATCCCTGGAACTCCAAATGCACCAGACCCACAATGCAAATAGGTTTGTGTCCTGTGTGAGTGGTCTAATCTGTCCGTAATTTGCGTGCTCTCTGTGCCCTATGGTTGTGACTCGGGGCTGCGATGGGACGCATCGCCCACATGCTATCTGGTTGCGGGAAACCACATGCAGCGGACGGTGTTCAGCCCAACCTAACCTAACCTAACCTAACCTAACCTAGACCAACTTAACCTAACCTAACCCAACCTAACCTAACCTGACCTGACCTAACTTAGCCTGACCTGATCTCGCCACGTCACCCATACGGACAGCCGGAGGTCGTCAAACGCGTCCACGTAAAAGGTCACAATTCTGGAGGATTCTTGATGACAATGCCTTCAAAGATGTCGCGCGTTTGGTTCCACTAAATAGCATACCTATAGCTAGTTTGTTCGGCAAGAGAGAACCGCACAAAGCCGCCTAGCGTGCGCCCCGAACTAATAAGCATGAATGTTCTGTACATCCTAGCGGCATTTGTCGGGTTTTCTCGCTGGGCTACTTCACTGCACCCAGCACGGCATTTTTGCAGCCGGCGGACCCCTGCGCACATGAATACCAAGCGTCGACGGGCAACAAGAATTCTATTTTAAAGTGGCTGGAATCAGACTCTCCGGGTAACCGCTTTATAGCCGGCGGCCCGTGAATGATGAACGAGGTGGAAACGAGAGGCGTTTTAACAATGCATGGGGTTAAGGGCGTGGGGAGCAGACTGATCTTGACCCAGAGGATTAGAGTAACGACCGACCTACGGAACGGACTCAGAACAGAACAAAAATACCCTGCGAATAACCCCTGCAAGCACTTAACCCGAGTGCAGCCTTTAGATTATTACACAGCTCCAATACTGAAATACTTAATTTCTTCGCAGCGCGGCGTATGCGTCGCAAATATAACTATCCCGTGGCAAGCCATTCAGCTATAATTTTGGAACGGAAATGCAAAGAACTACCAGACAGGTTTCGTGTTTAATCGCGTTATATTGACTGTCACACCAACACCTGAAGCTCGTTCGGTGACGCACCGAACATTTCACCACTGTGTGAAAGATGCTTAGGGTCTCACCAGCGACGTAGCGCGTATGCAACACGTCGCTAGCGAACGATTTACAGAGCTGTTCCGCTTGGCAAGCGAATCAGGTTGTCACGGGCCGGCCGTGTCGTGGAATTAGAAAGGGTTTAAATATCCTTCGGTACTAGTTGTTTGAACCGTTGGAGGAGATTATGTCCGTTGAACTGGGGCGTCTTTACTGCGATGTTCGATTAGCGGCTTCTCCACAAATTTTACTTATCGAGGACTCATATCCTCGTGCCATTTTGCCAAGTATTCAATGCCATTTCAGCGATATTCAGATGAAGGATACTTTATGTCAGTTTCACACTTGTCACATTGTTTGTCCCAGGACCACATCGCTGGATATAGTCCAGGGAAGAGCACCGTGCATGGCAGGCTGTTGTGTTGTATGCATTTCACGTCAACTTCAATGTAATTGCTGGCTCTCATATCCGTTTTTCGCTGTTTCTACGCGCTCCTTTGCAGCTGGTTCACTGTGCAGCCCCTGGCCGTGAAGGTGACCAGCAAGGTGTTAGGAAATAAGACACGACAGACATTACGGCATGCTCCACAGACACCGAAAACGTGCATGAACAAGAGGAAGTGCCGAAGAAGTGCAGGCAGTAATATACAATAGAACGCTACTATCAGAAGCTACCTCAATGCATGGAGACCATCGGATGGGAGACAAAGCTATAAACGCCAACAAAACACATCTTTAAATGGTGCATCTGATGCACAAGTATGAGATCCCGCCTAACGGTGTTTACCATTCGCATGCAACTTAGATCAAGCCGGGTTCGTTGTACCTAAAAGGGATTTAATAGCGCTCTCAGAATGGTTGTGAGTGCGTTTCTTGTTAAACGATGTTGAACAAACCAGCTTTAGCATAAGCTGTTGGCCAGCAAGAACGGCGGCAACAGGGTCGCATTAGGTGGCATGGGGCCTCGCTGAAAGGGCCTGCGGCGTACCCCGTGGCGTATTATAGGGAGCCCCGGGCACCCAACAGTCGAACCAAAGCCGAGAGCGAGCCGCGGGGCGTCGGCGTGGAATGCGAGCCTACCGATGGGAACCAGGGCCTCCGCCACCACAGGTCGCATTGGGATACGCCACTGAGCTCCCCAAACGGTCCGGCGCAAAACGCCGACCAGGCTCTCAAACTACAGGGTACGGCTCTTACCTGAGTTGAAGATGAGCTAAGAACATTGAGCTTTACTGGGCTTTCTCGTGCGCGGGTTTCTCGTCCCCACCGTGGGCCCCATTTTCGGTCGCCTCTCGTGCCGGCCAGGTCTGCAATCAAGAGAGGGCGCCGCCCCGTCGGGTCGCACGTCGTCTCCAGCTGCTCGGGGTCGACCGGCTCGCCCAGCGTCTCTCCCCCCCCCCCCCGCCACCCCAGCATCGGCAGCCCCCCGCATGCTCCCCGGAATCGATGCCTCACTCGTAGTGCCGATAGTGCACTTGACTGGAGAGTGCTTTCTTTATACTGTTGCAATTTCTGAGCGAAAGCAAGAGGAGAGACCACTTGAACGCTCCCAGCGTGGGTAAGGCGGCACCAGTAGGCTCTTAGATACAAGTACAAGCTGCGCTGGCTCGCTTGCAGTGCTTGTGGGCGGTGCGCTAGGGTCGACTACATATAGTGAGATGAAGCCAGAAGAACGCCACAGAATCGGATCTTTCAGTGGACATCAGGAAGTGGTAGGATTTAAAAAGCAGGGGAAGTGCCTCAGCAGGTTCCAAACACTGATCACTATTCCACTCCATAGCCAACATTTTAAGCGCAGCCTAAATTGTTACTGACTTACCTTTTCAATTTGAACCGCTCTGTTTCTGTTGTATATCAGCGATACGTCCCTAGCCAAATTCAAAACATTTTCATTTGTAAAAGAGACGTTTAATTGCAGGTCAGCCTGCACTGGTATGGTACTGGTATGTTATGATATTCTAAGGTTGAGATGACACACACGATCGAAAACTATCATTTTATCATTTTGTGGGACCCAGAAGCCTGATTCATGATCACGAGATTTCTACCTGCTTTCTTGGGGCTGGTAACCCAGCTTCTTATCGTTTGATTCCAAAAGCGCAGATACTTGTGTCACAGAACTTCATGCGCGCTCGTGCGCGTCTGCGTTTGTAATCATGGCTCGCGATCCACAGACAAATCATGTTCTTGGTCATGCGTTCCCGGGTTACCCGCAGATAAGGAAGAAATTAAGTGAAATATTACCGAGAAAACCTAGTTTCTTTTGCACACCTCGTCCACCCCTGAACCTCAGCCCTCTATCTCTTCTTCTTCTTCCCACCTCTAATCTGTTCACATGTGTTGTTTCAACCTATTCCGTTGTTCTCTGTGTTGCTCCTTTCGACGCCATATTTTGATTAATTTACGGCAACTGCGTTTCTCCTAACCCTCACGGCCATTAACATCAAAACCTCTCAAGCTATGCGCACTATGGCTACGAGAACATGGCTGCTAGAAAGCCCTTACGTTTTCTTTAAGGCACGCAACAGTTCACAGTTATTCGCAGGATGAGATCGAAGCCCACAGCCGGTGCAGGCCACGCAGCGCCACACCGGGCCACTGAGCGTATCCCATGTACAGTCCCAGGGCTGACGACGCCTCCCAGAGTTTCCTGCGCCAATGGCTAAGAACAGACATTCCGCTGCGAATTTACTCTGTGAAACATCTGCCCTCCATCTAGGCTCGAGCCCGGTCCGCGGTCGCAGGCGGGGGGGGTCCACTCACCGCCGGCGAGATGGAGTTGAGCGCGTACGACATGCCCTGCAGCCGGGGCTCTGGCGTGCCGTGACCTCGCTTGACCGACGCCGGCGACCCGGCCGCCGGCGTGCCGGGGCTGTCCGCCCTGCGGCGAGCCGGGTTCCAGTCAGACGTCGCGCCACAGTGCGCGCTCCTCGGTCAGAGCGGCCGGCGCAGAAGCGCCTCAGGGGCAGGGGCACAGAGAGCATCGGCGCGTCGGCGCGTCGGCAGCGACGGCACAGCATGACCAGCGCCGCTCTGCTGGTGTCCTGTTTGACACTGACGACGGAGGCACAATCAGCTGCCGCGCCGGAATCGCACCGGCCGGCATCCGGTCGCGCGCCGCGAGCTCCGCTTGATGCGCATTCCGAGCGCAGCCCAAGCACCAATGAGAAGCTTTATGGCAGGTTGCCAGCGCGCGGCAGCCTACCGTGTCTGCAGCTGGTTGGGTCCAGGCTCTGGCGGCTGGGCGTTTTTGGCGTCCACTTTGTTCAGGTCTGCTGCGCCACCATCAGAAGGCTTGTCTCCTGTGGGACACGTGGCAGACTGGTAGCGTGCATACGCCAATGCAATACATCACATCCAGGTATTCATCGTGCTCTCCGCTTTGGTCTTACGCAAAAAGGGCACACTAATAAACGTTATAGGTAGATGTGCTTGCTCAGATAAGTTTCTGTCTGCAATGCACCCATACACCAACGTAGCACCCCAAAGGTGGTCATACAGCACGTACCAGCGCGTCTCATGTTGTAATACACGTCAGGGTCGATTGGCCAGAAGATGCGGTTATGCCAGAGCAATGCAGAATTCATTGGTGATACTTGATGAAAAAGAAACGTTATGTTGTGCTTTTCGCAAAGTTCAGCGTCGAAATAATAAGTATCTTACATTTCGATTTATTTTTCAAGCATGCTCCTGAAAAGTTTGGTAAGCTATCGACTATCCATAATCCATATTTCACAGAGCTGCAGGCTTTCCATACCGAGGATCGGTTTGGTCCCACTCTGATTTTTCCATCATCAAAGAATCGTTCCAGCCAAAACGCTGAAAGTTTGTGCCTCTTATTGCCATCGGTTTGACACATCCTGACAAAACTTAGACATCCAGAACCGTAGCCCATATCTGGCTAATGCTCTGAGTCTCAAACGGGGTATCGGAATTTTGCTCTGGGACCGGCCTTTATAGCAAGATAGCGTTGACTGTTATGACATCTCAGGTCTGGTGCAAGGACACGGTTTTGCCTGATGTAAGCACGACAGGTCTACATCTTCTGGTTTTTCGGCACTATGAATTTACAGGCCCTGTCCTAAGTTATCGATCTTTGATATACCAGGAGATCTGACAGAACAGGGATGTGCAGCAAAAATTGATATATTGGCAGCACTCGACGTTGCGAGCCGTGTTTACAATCAGCACAAGCCGTGCGTATGGGGGCATGTGACCATAAGCATGCATTGAAACACTGAGTCCTTTATTGTGACCAATAGTTATAACCATTAGTCTACACGGTCGTCTAACCAGTGCCTCCTGGTATTTTGCATGTCAGTAACTCGGCATAACGCCCATGAACTCCTAAAAGAGGCGATTTTATGACGTCCGTGCACAAACCGATAAATATCACAGTTCAGTTAGGTCTGTCCATTCTGGGCACTAGGAGAACACCGCTTTGCCGTGCTTTTCTAAGAACCGAACCACGAATTTCCTTCTCACACTATCAAGACCTACATAGCATCCTTCCTTCTGTCACCCATCCAAAAATATCATGCCTTCGGGGTCACCATAGTCGCAATATCAAAACAAAATAAAATTGGGGAAAATATCTGCTTCATTTAGACAGATGAACAGTTCAAGCTATCCCATTTGATGCCATATTTAGTGCGTCATTAGTGTTTTCAGTTTTCAGGTACATAAACATCTAGTTCAGCTAACTTCAGACACCCATTTTGAGACAGATTTCTTTCGTCAAAGTTGTGTTAATAGGCTATCAGATTTCAACCTCAAGCATTCTCGAGCAAATTTTTTCGCAGCTTAATTGAGTCCAATTTAAGCCGACTCACACAAAAGTTGAGGACCGCAGCTTTCAGCCAAACATGTGCATTGTAATATCCAAAGCAAAACTCCTAGCATTTTCGACTGTGCGTGACAACTTTTTTATGCATTGGAGATATAGCTGTGTGGAACGTACTGCTTCGACATTCACGTGGACTACCCCACTAGGTTTTCTCGAACAGCATATGGTCTTAAGCTTAATTTAATGACATTCCGGGGCGAAAAGATAGAATTTCCGCAGTACCCGCATCATCATCATCATGTCAGCATTCGTTACGAGTTCTGTTCTCTTAATCTTACCAGATAAGCGCAGTGCCTCTCGAAGTACGTCGTTCTGAAATAATTGCTTTTCTGACTGGAAGTCATTTCTAGGTCGTCCAGCAAAGCAGTCTATACAACTACGGTTAGCATGCTGGTAAGCCTACGATGGCTGAACCGCATATTAACGAACATGACATGCTAAACGGCCGCCCAGATTTGGTGCCCGGGGTCAGCCCAGGACCCATGAGCATAGCGTGAGTGTGCTGGTAGGTTAAGCGCGACCAACGTGAAGGGCCCCTGAGCAACCGAGAATACCCCGGATGTCAACACATGCCCCCCCCCCCCCCCTCTCCCGGCCCTAGCGTATAGAGCGTTTCGGACCAATGGAAAGAATCCTGTGAAGGCCGCCCATTGGCAGAGTGCCCCGGCACGCTGGCAAGAATGGCCCCAGCAGCATCGCAGGGCCCTCCGAGCAAATGCAAATAAATCAAAGGGCAACGAAGTAGGCTCCTTAACAATCAGGTTGACCGCACAAGTGGATATATAGAGCCCCGGAAACAGCGCAGCACCTCTGGACAGCGTAAGCAGTCTTAAGACGTACCAGTCACCACACTCTCAATCAGTGAAGAATAATGTTTGTCTACTCGTGAGCTCTTCACTCTCGCTTGCGACTGTTATCGGTCGCCTGGAAGCCCAAAGACGTCCAATTTTGTTGCGCTCTGTGTAGAAAAAAACAAACACTGCGCCTGTTCGACCGGCTATGAGACCCCTCGGAGCCTATGGAGCCGTTCGGGGTCCAAGGGGGGGGGGGAGTCATGACCCCGTGCCCGTCCCTTCTGGATCCGCCCCTGGTTCACAAATGCCTTTTTGATAGGTTCAATGCCTTGAACAGAGGGCGAATTCCTCCACAGAACTAAAGTGAACAGATCAACACAGCTGTTAAGCATATTGCTTATCCCGGCCTATTTGCAAGTAGCACGATCCTTAAAGCACATTTATTTCATAACTCCAACTGTGATCACTCCCCACCAGCAGTAAACCATGGTCATCAGCCATGTCACCTGCGGCACACTTCAGTGGTTCTGTCCGTTCCCGTTTCTAGTGATGTTCGGAATTAAGTGCACGAATTAGTGATATCGCTGTAACAAAACTCAGACAATATGGCGCATACATGGGTACCACGCAATGTAGCCGAATGTTCTGTGCCCCGCAAAGGGCCGTTAATGTCGGCCAGACGTGGCGGTGTCCGCTGGGACACGGTGTCGGCCGTCCAGCGGGGCCCAAGGGACACTGGCCAGACGTGTCGATGCCACGTAACTCACGAGGGGGCTGAGCTTACCCCGGGCGCTGAGTGCTGGCCGAGTCAGCCGATCGCCCGCAACAGAGGATACGTGGTACCCATGTATGCGCCATATTTGTCTGAGCTTTGTTTGAGCGATATCACTAATGCGCGTCATAGAGATGGCGGCTACAAAGCTCTTAGGATGTATTGCCACCAGCTTTCCCTCTTGGACTGAATGCAATGATGACTGTCTTAGCCTGAGTTAGTCCATGACCTTAGTCGTCATCATATTATGTAAAAGATATTGCGAGAGAGAAAGATCTCTCTCTCTCCTTCTCCTCTCTCGGTACTCTCTCCTCTCTCTCTCGCTCCTTCTCTCTCTCTCCCTCTCTCGCTCTCTCTCTCTTCTCTCTCCTCTCTCTCTCTCTCTCTCCTCTCTCTCTCCTCTCTCGCTCTCCTCTCTCCTCGCCCTATCTCCTCTCTTCCTCTCTCTCCCTCTTCCTCTCTCCCTCTCTCTCTCTCTCTCTCTCTCTCTCTCCTTCTCTTCCTCTCTTCCTCTCTCTCTCTCCTCTTCTCTCTCTCTCTCTCTCTCTATCTCTCTCTCTTTCTCTCTCTCTCTCCCTCTCCCTCCTCTCTCTCTCTCTCTCTCTCTTTGCGTTCAAATACCTTTGAAGCATCGTTCCAGGGTAGTTGTTCACGGGTAGTCAGATCAGAGCTTTCAAATGGAAGGGAGGGAAACAGCTTGCTTCTGCAGGAAGTATGTTTTTCAACGATGTTGGTTGTTCATAGGATGTTTTTTTAAAACGGTTCGCGGGCTTACAGTCATTGACTCGTCCAATACGCCACCATTAGATGCTATACAAAAACTGCATTATCTTTATACTTCATCGCACGTAAGTGCAGCGTGACGGGACTAAGTGTGGGTGGGGAGGGGGGGGGGGAGTGGGGAGGTACCAATAGTGTTGTTGCACGTCTGGGAAACCAGATGCACGCGTCTCTATTGCCCGCGTTGCTCACTGTCCCGCTGGGGTGAGAGGCAGGCGATGCGCCCCAGCATCCGAGTGCGTCGTAAAGCCCCAACGACCGACAGGCGGCGGATGTGGCTCGGGTGGCCTTGACCTGTGCCACCGGCCGACCGGGACCAGCGGCGGCCTGCGCGGCAGACAGCCACGTCCGGCAGACAGCAACACTCTTACTTTCCCCGACAGTAAAACACATAGGAGTGAGAGGACAGAAGACCACGGGAGCAGGACACAGCCTACAAACTCGGAGGATGTCGATTAAAGACCAAACTCTTCTGGAAGTGGCCGAAATTTTTTTGTAAGACATTCAAAGAAGAAATGCTCTATTCATGTTGCCTTCCGGAAGAAGATACACCACAACCCTTGTAAAGTTCAGCGTTCGCCACGTCCACATTCCCGACGAGAAACCGTCTTACACTGACGGTTCAGAGATGCTCAAATGCTTTATAACACCACCATCAGGTTCACGTCTCATTAAGATCTCACTCAAAGGAAATTAATACTAAATGTCTTGCACCAGCCAAGATAAGCGCTCTAAAAGGCTTATTCTCTTGCGATCCGAGGCTACCAGACGTCATACGGACGATGGAGAAGCTCAATTTCAGCACGACACAGATACACTCAGCTGGGAGATGCAGCAAACAGAGCCATTGCCTTTTCGCTTGCGGCTTTGTGGCATAAAAAGAAAACACTAAAATTGTTTATCAGTCGACTTTGCACAGTTCATCGAACAATCGAGTTTGCAACAAATTTGTCACAAAATGTATCCGTCTGTGGCTCTCAAGTTGCCTACGCAACTACTCAGACTCCGGCGATGCTCACTAGTGGCTCGCCTCAGGCTGGTAGCAACGTCAGCACGGTCTGTCTGCCTGTCCTGCCAGGCTACGCTTCCGACAATCCTCAGTAGGCCACGAACGAGGCTCTGGTCTTGCCGCTAAGTGGCTCTGACGGGCTCTCTGTGGTGTTTATCCAACGGATAGTCGACCATGTCCGCGATCTTCTCTCTGTGGCTGGCTCTGACGGGCTCTCCGTGGCATATATCCAACGGATAATCGATCATGTCCGCGATCTTCCCCTCTGTGGCTGGCTCTGACGGGCTCTCCGTGGCATATATCCAACGGATAGTCGATCATGTCCGCGATCTTCCCCTCTGTGGCTAAAAAGGACATGCCACACCTAGCGGGCTGGGACCAAGGCTCCGGTGGGAGATGTGCCGACCTCCGACTGGTGCGCGTGGGTCACGTGGCTACAATGACCGTTTCTGACGGGGGGTGCGGAGGAGCACCGCCACTGGGACAAACACCTGCCCAGAGCGACTCCGCTGTGCTTGCGTCGGTCTCACCTCTCCAGTGAGAACGAACGGGAGCCCACTCGGAGCAATCGATGGACGCTGTGTGGGTATCGCCACCGTGACGTCAGCATCGTCGGCGGTGACGTCAGCAGGTGACCTTTTGCGGCATGGCACACTTCCGCCATACAGATGGTCAGATGTATATGAATGGATTTGTTATGGCTCCAACGAAGCAAAAACAAAGAAAAGCTGGTGAGAGAACAACAAGGTCATCCATCCCCACATCTAGCGATCGCTTGGCTGAAAGTGTCTTTTTTAAAGGGACTAAGACTAGTAAAAAGTTTTCCATTTTGAGTTACCACGACGAAATAAGGTTCGGACTCTAAAAATTGTTCAGTCAGTCCTAAGGGGCAAAAAACATAAATATTGCCACTTTTGGAATATTTTGTTGCGCTGAAATCGTCGTAATGCTATCACGGCAAGTACCTCTATATTTCAGAATGCCACTGTCAATTAGTATTATCATATTGGAAGGCACCAGGTGGACGCAGCAGGATAAAATTTTGTTAAAAACAGTTCATAATTGTCGCTACGCAATGAGGAATGTGCTGAAAAAGAGGAAACGCAAAACAAATATATAAAACATGCCAAAACTCTTAAATATTTACTCGACACGGCTGTTTTCGGCATCATTTTCGCGGGGCCCGGAAATGACATGGATAACATGATCAGCAAGGGGACAAAAGTTACCCCTGATATCTATACATACAGTGACCTTAGAGCCACAACGTTCTCAGACAATAGTGCATGGATGTTGTGGGTCACAGCAGCCGCAGGTCAAGTACATGGTACAACAAGATAAAAAGCAAATTCCCGGTTGGTCGGCGATCAAAAGAGAAAATTTTTACATAAAAGAAATCGTCCTCTTTACGCGGGAGCCACGACCGAGCATCTTTGAGGACAAAGCGTAAATCTTGCGCAGAAGACATAACGGCTCAGATTTGGGGTCAAACGAGGTCATATTGTGCCCCGATTAAGAACCGATTAAATGGCAGGCAAGCTGAGCAAACCGACGACGCCTTCTCTGACACAGCCCTCTCTGATAAAAGGTGACGTTTTTCAGGCGGCCGCACACGTCCGATGTCCGACGCTTGCGAATGTGTCCGGCCCTGGCCTTGTCTCCAGCCCGTCATGTGGTTCCGCGGTCGGCGGTGCCTCCTCCCGGCGGATGGGTAATTTCGTGGCGTGATGGGGGGGGGGGGGGGGGCTAGACTGAAACGAATCAGGTGCCTCTTCGGAAACAAACCGATCAAACCGTTTTCTATGAAAAACAGCATATTTAGACATGGCTATGCGAGCGCATGCCTTCATTCGCCGACAGCTCTGCCGCGCCGCGAGCGTCCGTTCAGATGATCCCGGCCGGCGAGCACGGTGAATGGACATCATGACTCTGCCAGCCTAGGACTTAACTGGTGACCTGCCTATGTGGTTGGCTTTTGCTTTACTCGACGTCTCATTCTATTTTTGGGAGATACGCCAACAACCGTTTGCTGACACCTTTAGTTTCGACATTATTCTCGGAATAAAACAGCAGGAGAAGAACGCAAAATTCTCTCACTACCTCTGGTGCGCATGTCAAAGCCGACAGCTTACAATGATTGGATGGCCTCACTGCTCGCTGACTGGTGTTGCCTCTCCTCTACCTCCCCCTCCCCCCCCCTCACCCCATTGCTTCAGTGGCAGGCGGGGGCCCGCGGGGAAGAGGATGACACCTATTCTCCAGCCCGCTCGTTAGACCTGGTCGATCCGGTCGAGGGGGAGCATCCTCCCTCGTCCGCTCGTTTAACCTGGTCGGGGTGAGCAGGTTAAAGGTGAGCAGGTGAGCAGGCCGCCAAAAGCCGGCAGCGGTCCGGCCACTGCCATTGTCAGCCGTCGCTGGCTCTCCCGGGATGGGCGGACGACATTGATTTCGCCCGCGGAAGGGGCGATCTTCTGTCGATCCACCGGACCGTGACGTCACACAATGGCCGGGGCCGGAACCCCGCGGCCGGTAGCGGTCGCAACTAGGCACCTCAAATCAGCTGAGCACGCGAACTGACAGCGAATGGTTGCTGTCAGTTCATGCGCTATGCACGCGGAAGCCTCTGTTGATACTTCACCAATATCTGCCGACGTATACCTCGCAGCTGCTCATCAATGTCCGCATCAATGCATGGTAACCCATCGTCTTCTTCTCAGGTCGTTTAGAAGTGAGAGTGGCGTAAAGTGGGCTCATTATGACCTGCGCTCTCAGGGACGTGAATAACGATATCGTCTATTCGAAAAGGGAAGGGTTAATACTATTGACTATCGCCGACGTCTTTCGCATGCTAAGTGCTCACAACAAAGTATTGTACTTTTGTGCACACGTTTCTTAATCCTTTTAACGTGGTTTCTGTTGGATGTGCTGATATGCATGATTCCCACACAATTTCAGTTTAATTGTCCCCAATGTGCAAATCACCCTTGCGAGTTTGATCAGTTTGGTGCATACCGATAACACAGCAGCAATAGCATTATTCCTCCTGATTTTTTTCGAGGAATAAGGCCATTACTACTGCCTTTTCTGTATGCATGATGTTCCTCGCAAACACACCTAACAACTTACGCATTTTGGTGCGTCACCGGCAAAACTTATGAAACAACTATGAAGCGTGACATAGATAGCGTGACAAGAAAACTAGCAACTTAAGTGTGAGCCCCCTTCAAACTGGCAGCACTCAAGTCGATGTTTATATAACTTGCACAACACGATATCATTCTATTCCGACACCCAGCCTTATTTAGCACATAAACCCAATCTGACGCATGCGTCTCGGCCAAGACGATCTTTCCCTGACCGCGATCACGTGGACCACGATCACCGCGCTTCTCACCTGGCTCAACCATGACGTCCACGATGTCGACCGACTTGGCGAAGGCGTCCCGCAGGTTGACGTCGTGGAAGCTGGCGACGCTGCCGTCTCGACGCGCCTTCTCCAGCGCCTCGCGCCGCTTCATCGCCTTTTCGCGCATCATCTGGCTCTTGTAGAACTCGGCGAAGTTGTTGACGATGATGGGGATGGGCAGGGCAATGACCAGCACACCACATATGGCGCAAACCGCTCCCACCCCCTTGCCTAGTGGGGTTCGGGGAAAGGCGTCACCGTACCCGACCGTGGTCATGGTGATCAGGGCCCACCAGAATGTCTCCGGAATGCTCCCGTAGTCTTTTTTGTTGCAATCTTTCTCGGCAAAGTAAGCGAGGCTCGAGAAGATGAGCACAGTGATGGCCAGAAACATCAGGAGCAAGCCGAGCTCCTTGTACGAATTCTTCAGTGTGAAGCCCAGACTCTGCAAGCCAGTTGAGTGGCGCGCCAACTTGAGGATCCGCAAAATTCGCATGATTCGGAATATGGCTATGACACGACGAACGTCGTCAAATTGATTCTCCTTTTTGCTGGAGTCCAGCGGAAAGAGAGACACGTAATAAGGCATGATCGCCAACAAGTCGATGATATTCATGGCACCCTTGAAGAACTGCCACTTGTTGGGAGAAGCGGCGAAACGCAAGAGGTACTCCAGGGTGAACCAAGTGATGCAGACTGTCTCCACTTGGGAGAGATATTTGTTATCACCTCCATCGTCCTGGAGACTGGGCAAAGTGTTGAGCACCAGGGACGTGGTGGAGACCACAATGAAGAGGACAGATACAATGGCCAGAACCTGAAAGAAGATGACGGAATTCTTATGATGAGGAATACTGGGACGCACCTGTTCCCGGCTCGAAACGACAGTGATCTTTCGGATGCGACGCATTGCTTCTGTTTTCGGCCATATCTGTTGCAGCTTGCGCTGACCGAGTTGAATGGCTGACGCTTAAAAAGACACGACACTGGTGATCATAAGGCAACGAATGCTTGTGGAGCTGTTCTGATCCTCTAAATTTGAGCCTCGGCCGGTAAGTGGGCCACAGAGTTTGTTTTTGTCATGCAGTGGGATGAGTGGAAGTGCCATATACAAAACCATTGTTGCTGATACTCATATCTTCCTAGATGCCCATGACATGGAGGAGCTTTTCACGTATTTTACCTTTGATTAGCGCTTCGAAATACATGTCATGCTTGTCCAAGTCACGAAACAATATACATTTAATAAGAAGGCCCATTGTCGAAAGTTTAAGACACGTTGGTTTTGGTGTAGGCTGGAACATTAGAGGGAGAGCTTTTGATCTGATTTATTAGGATGTCAACATGACATTCCGCAAGACCGAGCTGAGTAGAGCACACAATATTTAAACGTAACTATTGAGAAGATTCTGAGTGGATATATTCCTGAGGGCTGTGCCCCACATCTGTAACCATGCCACATAGCCATCTTGAAGATCATTCTATGCAGTTTGCAGTCCTGACCTTCCTGTGACCTAAACCATCCAGTCTCTGAGGTAACCGCTCAGAAAGGTGTGCAGACTATTTTAAAGCTACCCAGGCATCCATGGTGCCATAATAACGTCATTGAAATCCTACTTTTCCACTGGTCATGCGGCCTTCAAAGCCAATAAACGCACAATTGTCAAGTCATTCATATCTGAAGCTCGTGAGCACGATTTCCAGACATAGCGACCGTCAATTGGCTATCAGCCAATGCCGCGCAAGCTAGACGAGATTCCCAAATGAATGACGCTATGTACTCCATAACACAAGAAATCACAATTATTCCTAGCTATTACGGAAATAAGACTTGCGATCGAATAACTTAAGACAAACGTTATAACCACACATGCGAATACAGGTAAGCACCTTTAAAGACAATGTTTCACATTTAAAGATATTGAAGCAGGCGTCAAATGTGATGAAGCAAGCTCGCATGTAGCAATTGGCATACATTTGAATGGAAAAGACTGCCATAGATAGCACAAGCTATTTAGTAAATATGCTTCCCAACGCGCCATGATCTGATTACGTTACCAGCTTTGCACAACATTGACAGCCAATTGATGGCCGTCATATCTGGCAATCGCGCTCATGAACGCCAGATATGAGCGTCTCGACAATTACATTTTTTGGTCTCTATCGCCGCATGACTTTTGGAAGCGCAGCATTTAAATGACGTTACTATGACGTCATAAATGTCAAGGTGACATTGAAATACTCTTCCCGATATACCTTCCCCATTTTTGCGGGCGGGTGTTCAACAACAATTCGTGAGGTTATTTCCGACAGCCGCGTATAAATTATTTTAGCTAATTGATCAGGCTGTTTTGCCGTGCCGTAAGATTGGTCGCATTAAAGTGCTATGTTTTTGCCTCTCCATTTTTTGGATCTGACATATCGGGTCCCAAGGTGTTGATGCCTCCATCGCACCTCGCCTGTCGAGGTCGGATGATATATATATATATATATATATATATATATATATATATATATATATATATATACAAAAGTTCATATAGTGCGAACTAACTCGTCAGTCATCCAGCTCGAACGCATTGACCATTATGTACATGACATTGACCAATGACCATTACAGCTCGCGCAGACAAACAATACAAAGCAATGCTTCGTAACCGAAAAACCCCGTGTACGTGGGCCGAGGACAGGCGCTTTATGCACAGATTGCGCAAAGGTACACAATAGCATTCCTTCACATAGGTTATGCATGGTTATATATTCCACTGCACGCCAAGCCAGACCGGATTTTAGTAGTAATAGCCTCATGCGAAGGCTCCATTAAATAAACGCTTCAGAGCCAGCTCAAGCCTTTGCCCATTACCCTGGAAATGTGCGGCACACAAAGGTTGGACAAGATCCTTGCTTGGGTAAAAGGTTTTAATAATTCAGCGCTACTGACATAGCGCTATGCTTCACCAATGAAAACCAGTTCTGAAGAACAGACGTGCTGCAAGCACCACTCATACCTGTCTGGCAGCAGGTCACTTTTTATTTTTAATAAACTTATTCCGAACGAATTGCATGGGTGACTCTGGGTCCATAGTATCTGCTAAGCATGGCTTTTTGCGTGTATCCTGAACCCGCCACCTAAGTCGTACCGTCCAGTTCAACGGATATTTTCGCCTCCGCCCCTGCGCCAAACAGGACTGCGGAGGGTTTTACCTGCCGCACAATACTGTGACACGGCAGCCCCGGGCCAGGGTTGACCCTCGTTGGCCGGTTGCCAGCTCACCTTTCCATTTCAGTCGGGCTAAACAATGCGCCCCTCTGGGACCCGTACCCAGTGCCGCTGGATTATGAGTTCAGCGTCTTTCCCCCGGACCACGGGGGCGGCAAGGCGCCGCTTTGATCATGCATATTTCAAAATTTACTTGAATGTTTTTCAGCCGAGTTAGTCAGCTTTTGCAACCTATCTGTGCATGTGTTTGTGTGATAATTATCAATGTCAAAAGGCACTCCACCCTTTTAAGTCATGGTCCTGACTGAAAAACGAATTTTGGCCAACTCGAAAAGGATATGCCGACCGCTGTCGGTGTTTGTTCGCACCCGGTCTATGAATGAACAAAATGTGGATCAATGTTCATCGTAACGATGCTGACAACATACAGGTAACTCGATAATGGCATCATGACAGCGTGGGACGCACGTGCGCCTCTCCAACGAGACGTTATTAAAGAACAGGGCGTTTGGCAGTTCCAGTACAGAGACACCGCAACAAGTGGTCGGTCAAGGGAATGTTATAGCCGTAGTGATCGGGTCGAGGCGGTTGAACCAGGCATTCCGGAAGGTATAACCTTGGCGTCTGAAGGTCATTCATGGCCGCAGTCACGAACCGAACAGACGCCGAAACCAACGCACGCCTTGAGCCAGAATTCGGTGAGCACGTGCTTTGGTATGCGCCTAGGCTGAAAGGTGACAAAATGTCTGTTAGATGGATGTTTTTATCAGCCAGCTGTTTGGCCAGTTCTGTTGTAATGTATAATCAGCGCCGTCGTGCGACGCGTCGCTATCAAATCTATATCACTATCCGAGAAAGTGATAAATTTGTGTACTAATACTATTATATATATATATATATATATATATATATATATATATATATAATTGTACTAATACTCATGAACCTGAAAATTTCCATTGTCAATCATCATTATAACAGCTGCTAGTTATAATCAGCTAGTCGCTCACGAAATATTATGCATATGCAACGCTTTTGCGTGCCACGCTGTCATGATGTCGTTATCGGGTCAGCTGTATGTTGTGAGCATCGTACGATGGATATGAATCCATATTTTGCTTATTCATTGACCGGAATGCGAGCAAGTATCGATAGCTGTGGGTCGGCACATATCTTTATTTCAAGTAACTATCCACTAAGGTGTTCAGTGTTCTGTGATTGTGATGCGATAACGCTTTTGCGATGGCGCTCTGCAGGATGCAAGAATAGGTGGTCATGAAATGTGACCACGAAGCGCTTTATTTATTCCACTTTGATACCAAACTAAAAGGAAGGATACGGGGAATGAGCAGAAAAGTTAACTTGGACGGCATGGTGAACCTTTGTTAACGAACATTCTACTCACATTGCAACATTTGTTTAGCATGTTTCCTTGCAATGCCAAGTTAAGATGTCAAAATGCACAGATTTCTTTGATAATTAAAGACAAAACACAGATATCGTAGGGACCAAATATAAAGAGAAACCCTCTGCAACGTCGAAGGATTTTCGGACGTACAGACAACAGGCGTCGAGTTTATCCTGGGCTGCGGAATACTTGGGTAGTGCGTTTGTGTGTCACATTTGTAAAGAAGTGCTACAACATATTTTGTGTTATGATGTGACAAATGTGACATTCTTAGTTATAACATAATCATATTTTATTGCTGTTCACATTGTTACAGTAATAAGCAACTGAAAGAAAAAGAACTAAAAATAGAGCAAACCGCGGTGTGTTGTGCACGTATAGGATGCTTTGACACATACAGTGACCAAGTGTACGCAACATTGATGCAACATTTTGAGCGGTGCCCTGGCGGACAGCCAAACATCGTGCTGAAATGTCAGCCTGGCATAGCGTCGCAAAGGACGTGGCACAGTTCGTGACACGGCGGGATACAATATTGAGGCCCCTACGGTCATACATGTTTTATGATGCAATGATGGTGCTTTGTTAGCATGACCATGCTTGTCTGTATCGACCAAGAAGTTAGCTATGATTTATAGAGGCCAGCAGCGTCACAAGACCCAAGGAGCCCGTTAGGCGAAGCAACCGAGCAACAGCCCGGAGGTATGTTTGCAACTGCATTATGCTCAAGTTTGTATTAAGCATGGCATTGGATGGCCGACACAACATATTCCTGAGCGCATGCTAAAATAACACATGACCAGCTAGAATGAGCAGTGTGCTTTGACTTCTTTACCCTCAGTGATCACGTGCTTAATTTTGTGGAATAGCCACGAGCCCATGTAGCTTCCCTAAGCTTAGCGGTTTGTATTACCCATTCCCGGGTCCACGCGTGTGGCAAGGGGGAAAATGAGCCGCTTCGAAAACAAACATAGGGGCTTTCCTGGCCTGGACTCCGAGTTTCCAGCGACCCCAGGGGTATGTGACCTGTGGATGGTCGCCCCTGCCCCCCCCCCCCCCCGGCAGAGTGGTTCTGGACGCCGAGTCACCAGCCGCCTCAGGGGCCGGTGACCTGGAGGTGGTCTGTCCCCTAACGGAGTGGTCCTGGACGCCGAGTCAACAGCCACCTGAGGGGCCGGTGACCTGGAGGTAGTCTGCCCCCCCCCCGCCCTGGCGGAGTGGTCTTGGACTTGGAGTCAACAGCCGCCTCAGGGGCTGGTGACCTGGAGCTGGTCTGTCCCCCCCCCCGCCCTGGCGGAGTGGTCCTGGACTCCGAGTCAACAGCCACCCTAGGGGCCGGTGACCTGGAGAGGGTCAGCCCCCCCCCCCTGGCGGAGCGGTCCGGTGACGTGCATCGGTAGGGCGCCTTCACCACGGCGGCGCGCGGTGCGGACGTCCCACAGACAAGCCGCAGAGCACTGGTGCATTGCCTCAGCCCATCCCCGGCCAGCCACACAACAGCCCGGCTGCGCGTGCGGGAGGGAGCATAGCCAGCTCTCAAGGCGGCCACCTGCGAAAGCTAGGGCAGAGCACACTGCGCGGCCCGTGTTAGGCAGGCGACGTCGCTGCCGGCGGCCGCCACGACACCGAGGGAGAGTCGCGCGGCTCGTGTTGGCAGGCGACGTCGCTGCCAGCGGCCGCTGCGACACCGAAGGAGAGCCACAGACCGGACGCGTCTCCGCTTCGAGAGATGTGGAAATAGTGATTTGTGCTAGTTGTAACTGAGTTTCCAGTGCTTGAAGTAAAGAGAAATGCAACGTGTTGATTAGTGTTGATAGACATGAGGTTTATGCAAGGCAAATAAAGAATCCGTGATGTGCATTTTTACATCAATAAATGCCCGACATACCAGCACCCTGACGACTTAAGCAAGCGAGAGGCTTTAAGCGGTAGTGAAACAGTTAAAACAAATGTTTGGTTTTCCGCACGATAGCACGCAGCCGACACCAAAAGCTTCCATCACGATTAAAGCTTCACGTAGCACCAAATTCCAGAAATACATCACCGGTGCAACCTTTCCACGTGCGCCCACTCACCCAAGCGAGCACGGAGGCTGGCCGCAGGCCCTGGCGCAACATGAGCGGCGCCTGGCTGCGGGCCCACTTACCCGAGCGCCCAGCGACGTGGTCGGCTTCTCCATGAGGTCCCAAAGGAACTTCTGGTACTGGGCCCATTTGCCGGAGCCGAACTGCTCCGTTTCCCCCGTCTTGAGCGAATCAGCCTCCTTTTTCATCTCCTCGTTGACGTACTCGCGCCGGGTGTGGTACTTGTGCTGGCAGCACGACTCGAGGTACAGTTCGTCGATGCCCCAGTACTCGAGGTCCTCGCTGAAGGCAATCACGCACATCTCCTCCACCAGGTGCAGCTTGCCCGTCCGGTAGAAGTTGAGGATGCTGCAGAACGAGCGCGGGTGCCGGTCGAAGAAGAACTCATTCTCCATCAGTGAGTACTCGTCGCAGATGCCCAGAATGTCCTCGTGCGTGTTGCACGCCTTCAGCTTACCGAGCCGGGTACGCGGCAGCCGCTCCAGCGTAGACCAGAGCACCTCATTGCGCACGCCGCCCACGTTGATGACGACGCGCTTGTTCATGGCCTTGAGCCGGATGATGGTGGCCGGCTCTGGCGGCGGCTGCGCCAGCTCGCGGCGCAGGGCGGCGATTGTGGCGGCCGCGCTGCGCTGCTCGCCGCCAGCGCTGCTCTGCCGGCTGACGGCAGGCGCGCCGCCCTCCTCGCCCGGCGGGTCCATCCGGACGGCAGGTCTCTGTGGACCGGCAACCCACGCGCTGTCACAGTGGCCGGGTCAGCGGAGACACGTGACGTTACAGCTCGATTCGTCACCGTGACGGCCACATCACGCGGTCGAAGTCAGGGTCATTCCAAGAGAGATGCCGCGCTGCTCTTTTGTGATATTTAAGGTTAGTGAAACAGTTTCAATTATCGCAAACACTTAAATATATGCAAAAACATATGTAATACGTAAGAAGTCTTAAGCCAACAGTTGTAGTTAAGTATACGCGCATCTCGTTTTGGCAGCCTGTTTTCAATAGTAATAACCACCTTGGCCCAGATAAACAATTCAACGTCAATTCTGGCGCGCCCAAAACATTTCCAAGTTTTTTAGAGCATTTTAGGCCATGAGCTCTCGGACAAACATGATATTTGAGCTGTGATTAACTTATAGTACTTTCAGAGTGCAGTGTGCTGCAAAACAAGGAGAAGTCATCAGCTGGAACAACTCATTAGGCTCGTGCCGTTACCCAATATCTGCCGTCGTACAACATGTTTACGCGTTATTGCGCCGCGCAAGAGACGAACGACAGAGTCGCAATCTGTCCGGTTATCCGGCGCCGGCACATATTGAGCGCTGTCTCGGTCGTGGCGCCGCCGCCGCCGACTTCCTCGGCAGCGGCGGCCGGACCGGAGCGGGCCGCCGCCCGCCGGAACGGAGCGGGCCGCCGCCCGCCGGACCGGAGCCGGTCGCCGCCCACCGGACCGGAGCCGGTCGCCGCCCACCGGACCGCAGCCGGTCGCCGCCCGCCGGAACGGAGCGGGCCGCCGCCTGCCGGACCGGAACCGGTCGCCGCCCACCGGAACGAAGCGGGCCGCCGCCTGCCGGACCGGAGCCGGTCGCCGGTCGCCGCCCCCCGGACCGGAACCGGTCGCCAGGCCGGAGCGCGTCGCCGGACCGGAGCCGGTCGTCAGGCCGGAGCGCGTCGCGTGTCACCCGTCAGCTCACGCTGCCTGCATCGACCCGGCGGGCGGGCAGCGACAGCACCATGAACGTGCCATCCACGGCATCGCGAGCGACGACCGGGTCCGGCACTTACGACGATCCCATGTCACGGTGCAGCTCACGCGCCCCCTGGATGTCGATGACGGAGAAAGTGTCCGAAAACCTGATCAATCAGTTTGCGTGCCGGAATGTAACGGCCCCTTAATAGCAGCTGAACGTCGGGCTTTGAAACGTCTTGAGTGATGTCCGATAACACAATTTTGCTTAATTAATCCAACACAGACCCTATTCCCATCATGACTCTCCAATCATCATTAATCACACTCCAATCACGAGCCACAACACCGTAATAACCACTTGCCACGATGAGCATAATATCGTGAGCATTACTGCTATGATACCTAAAAAAAAATCATAACCTCAGCCAAGATGCTTACATTTCTCTATAGACCACATATTACGAAAGAGCCACATCATTCTGTCAGTCCAGATCTGGAAGCTGAAGGCATCCATTCACATCACGCTGATCTAATATAACGCATCCCTATTGGTGCATTGGTCCGTGATGTTCATAAGCGCAGGAAAGCACGCATGAGCCCAACTAAAGGTCATGCCCATTATGATAGAGCCTACACAAACAAGACGTATTTGTGTCACACCCTGGCACACTAATAAGCAGGGCCGTGCCCGCACGCCCCGCATGTACGGGTGTCTTGAAACAGCTGTCGAAAGTCGACACGAAAGTTAATAACAACTTTGTGATTTCGCGTCGCTGTGTTGTTAGCCTTGCCAAACCATTCTAAGGCTACTTCTAGTTTTAGACATGCGCCATTGTAACATACTTCATAAGAAAATTTGTCTTACATGCCATGAGTCAATAGACAAAAAAGAGATCGCTTTAGTTCGTACATTAAGTCATTTTCGCCTACTTCGATCCATAAGTGCTTTTCGCACGTCAGTACATTTTTGAAAGTATTTAGGCTCACTCAGTTTTTCCATGCCAAGCGCAGAACGATGAATCTTTGTTTCAAGAGCTTCGATATTGAGTCACGACTATCTCCCACGTGCGCAGAAACATCCACCATTAACCGCATTGACGCTTATTGCTGTGCTGCTTTGCAATGCGTTTATTCAATAATGCTGTATAATTTGGAGGCGTGTGTGTGTGTGTGTGTGTGTGTGTGTGTGTGTGTGTGTGTGTGTGTGTGTGTGTGTGTGTGTGTGCGTGTGCGTGTGCGTGTGCGTGTGTGTGTGTGTGTGTGTTGTGTGTGTGTGTGTGTGTGTGTGTGTGTGTGTGTGTGGTGTGTGTGTGTGTGTGTGTGTGGGTGTGTGTGTGTGTGTGTGTGTGTGTGTGTGTGGTGTGTGTGTGTGTGTGTGTGTGTGTGTGTATACGTGTGAGTTCTGTAACAAGCATGCATGAACACATGCCCGAATGCCCACGTGGACACCACCTACCCGCCCACGCATCTACGCCCACCCACACACCTGCAAACGCTCCTTCGCCAATCACGCAAACTCGCTCCCTTATCAGCGCTCTCTGGCACACCCCTCCCCCTTCCCCCCCCCCCCCCAAAGCAGCACACTCGCCCTTCCCCAGCGCCCTCTGCCGCGGTTTCGAACTGCGGCCAGCCGACTGCCATGTGACCTCGATAGGAAAAATGAAGTTGGCTAATGGCCACTTTAACACGCTGCCGGACCTCAAACTGTTGTCATCTGCTGGCTGAAGGGAGCAGAATTCGCCAAACTGACGTCCGGATGACGTCACAAGATTATTGTATCGTAACTTATGACGAGGCATTTGGGCTTTAGAAGTGTGCTGGTGCGGAGGAGCGTGGGATGATGTTTGCGAACTTAGACGCGTTGTATAGTTCAAGGAAAATTGTACAGGGACCAATATGGTACCATACCATGATACCATGATATACCATGATACCATGAAGGCGCATTCATTGAAAGAGCAACTCTTCATTTGTCGCACATTGAAAGCAAACCACCACAAAGGTTCTACACGCTTAAAACCTGACTCAAAATTGAAATGCTTCGTGTGCATTTTTGATCGTCAGTACTGCTCCTCTGCCTACTGGTGTCCTCTAAGCTATGAAAAGAGATGTGTGATTTTCAAGCATCCGAAGAGATTGCGTGTGGTGA